TTATTCTTTACCTCCAAGCGAGTGATTTTTTGTTTGTATTTTCATAGTAAAGAGTTTTCTGTTTGTCAAGTTTATAGCAGTTTTTGTAGCCTCCTTGTGGAGTGATTTTCTGTTCGTTTATTCCTTTTTGTTTCAGCAGTTTTGTCCCTCCATTTGGAGTGGTTTTTGTTTATTAGATTTTTTCACCTGATAGGATTAGTCTTGTCTTGAAAGCATAATTTTCATAGCTGGTTTTATTTGTCACTCTCTCTCGAGGTAGGAATATTTAAATAAAGTCTGCCTAATTGTCACTCTGCATCTGAGTCCTCTTTTTAGTCCAGGCCTGACAAGTTCAGGTTGTACATTACTAAGTACCCAGTACACTGCTGTGACTTTATGCTTTTTTATCAAAGTTCCAAGAGGATTGCAGATTTCAAAATCGTCTATATAGAGTATAAGTGAAATACTCAACTCTTCATTAGCATGACATTAATTTAGCTTGACATATTTCCCATCATGGAAGGATTCCAATTGTGAAGGGTTTGAATGTTTAGTCAATACATTGTTCATAATGTTTTCATTTTGCAATAACTGCTGTAAGGACTGAAGAGCAGGGACATACTGAAAGCTACAATTCTCCTCTGGATCCAAAATATTCTACTGGCTCAATTATACTGAAGTTTCCCTAAAATATTTTCCCCTCTTAAATTTTGAAGAAAAAGGACCATCTGGACCAAAAGCTGCACTAAATGGATTAGATTGACACAGTTTGTCTACCAATTCACTGAGAATGGCTTAATCAACAACAAAATTATTCTCTGTAAAAATATTACAAACTAACTTTGGAATATACTGATTTGATGATGTACAGATAAACTGAAGCTGTTCTACAAAGTCACCAATGCATTTGCCAGATATGTTATAGATGCGTTCCAATTTTATCAAGAGAGAACCAATATTTTTCACGATTTCACTTTCAGAATCCCTTTCACAACCCAACTCGAGGTGGTGTCTATGTCCTCATGATCATGTGACTCCAACACTGTAAAGTCAAGTTCATTCTCAGTAAAAACTGGCTGTTTTGCGATCAAATTTGTCTTTCCACAAATAAGATTTATGTTTTCTACTTTGTGCGTTGCATAAGTTCCATATATGTTTGTCTTGAAATCACATCTAACAAAAGCACATATGTTTTCATGTCTTTTCAAGTGGGAGTTAATATCTTGAAAATAGTCTTTGGTATTAGAATAAAAGGAGTCACAAATTTGACATCTGAAAGATTGCACAACTTCACATTCTTCAGTTACCTGCAAATTGTGGGATCTATACAAGTGTGTGCGCAGACCATGCTTGACTCGATAATGCTTCAGAAGTGCCTCTTTGGATGATGCCACAAACATACAGAGCTTACATTGCCATCCCATAAGCTGCCACCTAAAAAAGAGATAAATAGTGTTACAAAAGTGCTGCTCATTGTTGTTCACAAACTTAACGTTTGGCCTGATGGTGGCACTAGAGGAAATTGTGGTCATGTGGTCAACATTATCAATATGGTTCTTCCTGTTATAGCCATAGGTGTGCACAAAAGATTGGAAAACAGTCAATAAAAATGACTGGAGTTGCCACATTCATATCCAGGATTTGCAATAGCAGCAGACAATGCTGAGGTAGATGCTTAATATGAATAACCCAGTGTTTCAGGAATATATCTGAATAATATCTGTAACTAGTAGTCACTGTTAATGTATCCTATAAATACTAGTTAGACTATAAATAAATACTAGTAGTTTAAAATCAAAGTGCAATTCATTTGGCTCATTCACTGCTTTCCTAAACTTGTATAAACGGAACTATAAAATATCCTTGTTTCAATGTTTACACATTTAATAGTCTTGGAACACTATGATAAATGGATAATATTTACCTCCTCTGTTTTATCATATTTGTTCAACTTCTCTCCCTTAGAGGTGTCGTTGCTGTGAAACAGATAATTAAAATATTTAACATGCTTGAAAAAAACAAAATCAACTCAACATGCTCAAGTGTTCCCTCAAAAATATGACAAAACCTAAGTTGGGCGAGTAGGGCCCCCCTCTTAAGATTTCTTTTTTTCTAATAATAATAATAATGATGAACATTTAAGAAAAATATGATGAATGGACCTCAACCACACTATGGAAAGCTGTTTGTATTGCAGATATCCATGATTTAATTCATCCTCATGAAAATGAGCATTTCCAATATCCACAACATCATTCTTCTGAGGACAACTTAGGTCCCTTTTGTCAGTCATCTGTATAGGGATATCAATTTCAGATATCTGCAATTGCTTTTTTGATGAAAAGTGATCATTCTGGACAACAAAAATGCATTTGTGGATATCTGAAATTGAAAGCCCAATATGCACAAACTGCAGAAGTGACATCATTCGTCTAAAGAAGCATGATGTTGCGGGTATCTGAAATGTTAATTTTCACTAGTCCAGAACTGAATTACAGATCGCTACAATATATATCCAGACTACCTATTAAAGGTTAAACAGCCACTTATGCTTTTAAATTATATTAGACCCAGCCAAGTCTGAACACGTCTCACTGATATCTGACCTCATTGACAACAGACCCGTCTCTAAATAGCCCCTCTTCTCCATGCAAACTGAACCAAAACATTGGTTCTTAACACTAGAGCCTCAGTGTGAAATCAAAAAGCAACCCAAAAAACTTAAACTTTTGCTAGCTGGCCACTTACTAGGGTTTCCAAGGAGTTTTCCAGCTGGTGCTTGTCACAATCGATGACTCCTTGCTTGTAGCCACATGTTGCAGAAGCAGATTACCCATGAGGACTCGCTCTTGCTAATTACAGCCACGTCTTGGCATTCTACTCAGCTTCATAAATTAATGTTGAAGAAAATTAGGAATATTGATTTGGAATGAGTAATAAGTTTAGCTCTTGAAACTGATCAGTATTATTACTCCTTTCCCAAATATTTTGGTGGAATTTTCCAAAAACATTAAGTATATCTTAAAAATATAATTTGATATTCAAATACTAATTTCTCTTTGTGAAGTACACAAGAAATGATGGATGTGAATTTAAGACAAAATTAACTGTTGGATTTTTAAACATTTATTTTGGCTTGCCTTATTCAAACAATCACTTAAGTGATATTTAAAGATTCTATTAAGGAAGTATATTTTTTATTATTGTGATATTTACAAAGCCACTGAGTTATTTTTTAGGGTGTATGGGCAACCAAGTTATCAAGTGCTCTCAGACTTTTGGACCCCACTGTATATATTAACCAGGTTACATACAGTCCAATGTCAACAACCGCTGGTCAAACAGGGTACTACATAATGGCATCCACACAATGCACACCGGAGCTACGGGCGCTTCAGATAACACAAGTCAAGCAGACATCCTACATTAAAAAGTCACCCACAGACAAAGGAAAAACTATCATTATATACTGACATGTGGGGGGGGAGGGGGGGGGTGAACCGGCAGCACCATGCTAGGGCCATCTGGTTTCAGACACTGAAGGGTTATATTTTTTGTTTCTGTTTTTTGCTCAGTCTCCTATGCTCCCCTCCTGAGCCACACCAGGTTGCAATGACCCAGCCAAGGTGTTGTTAAAGTGGGAGGTTTGGTGTCACAGTATTATGTCTTCAAAACCTCCCTCATCCTGGTGATTAAAGTATCTCAGGAGAGCCAGTTGCTTATTACATAGGTTAGTTTTAACAAATTGAAACAAACTTAGACAAACTTTACTGTTAGTGAGCCCATTATTTAGCCATCATCAGAAGACCTGACCGCTCTCTGGTGTCTGAGGCATTAGACGTCAGCTGACACCAACACGATCAGCTGTTACCAGAGATGAAACCCCCATATGTCACCCATGCTGAGTCATCAACTGTCACAAAGCTGTCACTTTGGAACTTACATATGCATGAGTAATTTTTCTTCTTTTTCTATACACACTATGTTTTATGAGTATAAGTATGTTATGAGTGAGTATTATAGGTGACAACATATTCCTATCCCCTACGTGCCAGTGTTTGAGTGTGACCGGCTGCACATTTGCCTGCCAATGTCTTGCTATGGTCTAATAGCTCATATTTAGTATCCCCCAGCATTGTTGGGTTTTTACTTAGTTTTTTACTTATTTTCCTGTTTCCATATATATAATTACGCAGCAGAGGTAATTTACATCTACAATCAATGCATTTTTCTCCCACATTATTGAGTTCAGACAGACATCAGCTTTTACCTCCAGTCTACAAGTATTTGATGCTTGAAGAGTTCTGAGGCATTAGATGGGAGTAGGTTTTCTAAAGCTATGCAAAGCCTTGCAAACTCACAGGGGTCTGGGTAAATAAACTTTGGTATAGTAGGTGTGGGGCCTCTATACACTTTTTCAGATACAGGAGATTGCATACGGTAATCAGGTGTCAGCATGCCAGATGGCTACCAGCCATTCAATGTATGTATGTATGTATGTGGTACATCCTGCTAGTTAGCAAAACTACACAAGGGACACCAAGGTATGGTGAAATACAAAGAAGGAGCTCCCCACTCTGAGTGGTGGGCTGGGCTTAGTCAACAAGTGAATGACATGGTGCTAAACTGCAGGACATGCAGGAGAACAGATACAGATTCACTTTTGGAAATTTGATTAACAATAACAGTTGAAATATGAACCATCAAATCATAGTCGACATTTCTATTCATTCTGCAACAGAGGGCTTTGTTTACACAGTCATTTATTTAGTCATCCCATGAATGTAGTATATAAAAACACATGTAAAAATGATATATGAAACCTAATATTTGAAATTAGAGCAATTTCATATATTCACACACACACACACACACACACACACACACACACACACACACAGCTCTGCTTCCTGTATGCGCAGAGCTGTAACGTAATTGCAAGAATAGACATTTACAGAAGCTTCCGTTATTTTGCAGTGACATGAATATCCTCGGTCCTTGCCGTGCCGTTCCGTGCCGTGCTGGCAGTGTTGCGGCAGAGCTGAGGAGGAGGAGTTTGCTGGGATCACTTCCACTCAGAGGACGTTAGCTCAGGACGTACAGGCTTGATTTAGGAGGGGTTCCGTTATGTAGCGGACTGGTTTAGAGGCCGAGGACCTCCTCATATGGATTTGCGTGTTTTGTAGAATAACGTCTGAATGATGCGATCGCCGTGTTTTCACACTCTGGCCTTGTTTTTTCCCTTTGTCCTCTGATCAGTCTGCCGGTCCCCCGCTGTGGCATCAAACCCACCGACCTCAAAATGTGGTTCAAAGGAGATTTGGAGGATGGATACGAGTCTAATAAAACAGGTAAGATAACGGTATTCAGAGACCGCATGATGCCGAAGCTACAGCAGACCGGATGCGGTGATTTTGTCTTAAAGGCCGATAGCAGCTACAGCAGAGCAGCTAGCACACACACTAACTGATACTGATACTGAATCTGATACTGAGCTACGCGGCTACATGAAGCTCCTCAGGAAAACATCTTGGTTCATCAGCTGTTCTCGCGGTGCTCAGGTGATCCAGCTCAACACAGACAGATCGTCACTGAGTGAGTGATCAGTCACAGCTGTGATGTGCAATGTCAATCAAAACAAAATCATCATTAGTGTCCATATTTATTACACAGGGACAGTTACAGCAAGTGTCAAACAAATTCTTCATGAACTCCTTTTCTGACGTTGTACTTCCTGCTGCCTTCGATCTAAGAGAACAGATCATAAAGTGCTACACTGCAACAGATTACTGTAATCAGATTACTTTTACAGTAATGTGTTATTGATTTGATGCACCAGTTCCTGCCCTGCTGAATACTGTCACCACATCACACTATTTTAACCTTTAATTCAGAGTGTCATAATTATGCTGTGACACCTGCAGTACATCCACCTGGACGGACTGCGACTCTGATTCTGATAGTATGGAGAGTATAGGAGGAAATATTAGCTGCAGATACACAAGACAGTCAGATGAATCAATTTGTCAGTCAAACAGAAAATTAACAGTTTTGATAATAAATTGATAATTGAAGTACTTTTTTAAGCAAAACAGCCTAAACATGTCATGTTCCTTTTTGTGAAAGGTGAGTATTTGCTGGTTTTGTTGGTCTACTGTGACATTAAACCACAAATCTTTGGATTCTGGACTCATGGTGGAACAACACAAGACATTTGAATACGTGAACTTGGTCTTTGTGACATTGTGACGGGCATTTTTTTACTTTTTACATGGGCCTTATTCACCAAGAGACACACATGGTGAATGTGTCTCCCTCCACAGTATTATTGCTGTCTCCCTATGACCAATACAGTGTTCCTGCCTAAGACGCACTAGCTTGAGTACACACCATCAGCAAGGCAACTTCCTCTGGAGAGAATATGTTCAGATCAAACGTGCTGGATATTTGTGATGTCTCAGACCCTGAGCCTGTGGACGATGACAGTTCTGCATTCAGCAAAGCAGGAAAAGTGCTGTGTGAGGACCTGAGTGTGGCCCAGCTCTGTCACTGTGTCGGCAAGTTAATCCACCACTTTGGTCCAAACTGAAATATCTACATTGTGTACAGACATTCATGGTCTGCTTAAGATGGCATTCCCATCAGCCACTGCTGTATTTTGTGTTTAGTGCCAAATAACAAATGTTAGCATGCTAACATGTTAAACTAAAATGGTGCACAAGGTTAATATTACACCTACTAAACAAGGTGGCTTTCCTTCTGGCTGTGATGCCCTGGAAAAAATTGCATGCCTTATGGCCACCATGGCCTTTGTGCCCATGCTACTGATGAAATCTCCAGGTTTTTTAGGTTTAACAGCATCACTGCAGCAGTGCTTGCAGCTTGGATTGGTTGTGCGCATGTACTGTACTGCTAACTGCTAACTAACTAGTTAACTCTTTGCTCCGGTCGACAGTATCACCTCTCTTTCTCTTTCTCTGTCTCTCTCTCTCTGCAATCTGCTCATTTACTTGCTCCTGCTGCCTCTTAACACTTAATGCGCAAGTTTAGTTTCCATGCACATGTGTATGACGCTGCAATATCATCAACTGCTCTCAGAACAGTAGAAGCTGAATCAAGGACAGACTGACCAGCTCCAGTCCTTTTCATATTGTACCTATAGTTTTTTGTGACTGTGTCCTCACAGTCACAAAAAACTATAGGTACAATATTTAACTTTAATAACTTGATTGTGCAAAATGGTTTCTTGAAGACTGTTCTTACATTCATCTGCAGAAAGTGATAAGTTTCTCTGACATGAAATATGTTTAGAAATTTATAGATTCTGATTACATGATGCATCTTAGTTGATACATGATAAGGGACTGCATCTTAAAATATGTCTTTTTTATTTATATTGAAAAGTGAATAATTTATATTCATGTCATTTGTTTTATTTTCTTCTTCTATAATCAGAAAGTCATGTTATTTATTTTGGCATCACATTACTCAATGGCCTTTATGCCCCTAAAATGACACAATTCTTGACCTGCCACTAAACAGAAGCATGCAAGCATGTTAGCTTGGTGATGTTAGCATTTAGCTCATAGCCATGCTGTGTCTGAATGCAGCTCACAGAGCGATCTGCATGGCTACAGACTGAAAGCCAACAAACTGGTTGCAGTTTTGGTGACTGCTGGTGTTGGCACATACAGGGAGGAGAGGCTGAAAACATTATTAGTGGAAACAATGCATTATGAGCAGCTGGGCAATCTGACTGTGATTGTTGATTGTTGCCAAGGCAGGTGACAAAAGGCTGAAAAAAGGTGTGTGTGTGTGTGTGGCCAAAATTGTTGAGTTTGAAAAAGGTGAAATAAGGTGTTCTAATGTTAGATTTACCTAAATTGAAACCCAGTGATTTCATCTACCTGCGTGGGTCTTAATCAGGTCTTAATCTACCTGGGCACCCAAGTGGAGCCTATGAATGGGAAACACTGTGTTCATCCTCTCATTGGGAGACACACACATCATCAGGGGCCCCAGTTGGGGAGTTTTTGGGGCAGCGGTGGTGCACTCTATAGTGTATTTATGGGAGGTTTATGGGGGTTTACACTTGTCATTGCAAAATTTGTCAATATGAGGGGCCATCACTGACCCCTTTTCCCAATTAGATTTTTGGGGCCCCAAACATTTCCCTGGTTTGCCTGTCCTGACGCTGCATCTCTGGGTATCAGTACTTTATCTTTTAGCTAAATGCATAGAACTCACTGGGATCATTTTCATGTGACGTAACGAGAGGCCATGAATGTTTCTCATCTGAGGCTGAGGTCTTGAAAACATTTGGCTGAATTTTACCAACATACGCCCAAAATCAACTGTCAGTGGAAGAGTGAACAGAGAGGTGAGCTGCAGACTCTCATGCTATTGTCTTTATTCACCTGTGTGTTCATACAGTTTGCAGTTCACTTACACAGAAAACATGGAAAACCATTCAGTATGTGACTGAGGCGACATTCAGACAAAAAAACACAGCACCCTCCTTCATTTGAATGAAGGTTGTGCAGAGGGGGCAGAGGGCTCTGGAAAAGGCTGGGTCAGGTTCAATGATCCTGAATTTGTTGGACAACATATCCAGTAGGTCAGTGTGATGACACATTTCTGATGACTGACTTTGTAATGGGAATTCCAAGTATTCTAAACCACTGTGCGGTGTTATGGCATCTTCAAGCCTTCAAACTCATGAATCCATCACACAACCATTTGTCCTGTTTTTGGTCTAAATACCCAAGAAGACTCCAGTTTCTGAAGAAAACTACAAAAATTTAAAAATCTAAATTCAATTTTGAGAGAAAAAAACTAAACCGGTGACTGTCAGAAAGAAGTTGTTTCAGGCCCATCTGATAAGCCCAGTGGTTTGTAACTGAATAACTTGTGTAACAGCTTTTTAAAATTGTTGTTTAGGCTCCAGTGGTGGTGGCTCTCCAGGATGGGTCCCTGGCACCGAATCAGCCTGGCACAGCAACCCCCCTGGCCCTGGGAGCAGTATCTTTGGTGGGCGCCGACACAGCACAGTATCTGACAGTGGTGACACTGGCATTGGCACTTACTACTCTGACAGTGTGGAAGGTAAGATGTCCTGTCTATTTATTACAGCGCTGCTGCTGACACACACACTTAGTAGAGAAATCCCATGTTGCTTATCTCCAGAAAACTCCAGCATTGAAGCTGCTGCTCCGTCTCCAATCACTCTGATTTCTGTTTTCTATGTAGCTCTGCTCACATCTGCTCTCCACACAAATCTCCTTTTTCTTACTGATTTTCTCTAATATTAGCTTAATGATTAGCTGTGTCCCAGCCTTTAGAGCATGCGGTCTATGAAGGCATGGCCTCTGAAGACTGTATATACAGCAAAGGCCAAACCAAGATGAGACGGTCTGGTCTACAGAGGATTTCATATTTATCCTCAGCCGCTGTTTCATTTGCGTGCACCTTGTTCCCCTTTTTGAAAAGTGATTCATCTCTGGTGCACAACGAATCTTGGGAAACGAAGGATCCAACAAGTGGATACTCCGTGAGTGACGCATTTCTGTGCTGCATTAGAAGGAGCCTTCAGAATGGGACAGGCTCGTGCTGCAGCTGGTCTTCTAATGCAGGCTCTGAAGGATGAGACCTCTGAACTGAGATACAGCTGTGGAACAGCAAAATGATTCCATGCAGCATTGGTTACCATGGTGATCTACCCCATTTAAAAGTGAACCAGCAACTTTGTGGTACAGGCTCCTGAACTGGATGTGTGATGGAGTTAGTTCACAGCATCATGGTGGTCTGTGTAACTGTCTGCTTTCAGTTAGTCGTGAAAAAGACAAATTTTCATTGTTTACATTTTAATGTTTAACTAATTTTTACAGTTTATTCAGGAAGTCTTCAGACTCCTTCAGTTTTTTCACATTTTGTTCTGTTACAGTTTTATGATTAAATAAAAAGAAAAATGTTCCCTCCTCAGTCTCTCTCAATCCTCCACACTTCAGTGAAAACTGAATTTATTAAAAAAGTAAAGATTGAAATCTCACATTGACAAAAGTATTCAGACACTTTACTCTGACTCTAAGTTTAGCTCAGGCTCCTCCATTTCTCTGGATCATCTCTGAGTTGTTTCTACACCCTGACTGGAGTCCACCTGTGGTGAACTCAGCTGATTGGACATGATGTGTGAAGACACACACCTGTCTATATAAAGTCTCACAGCTGACGATGCAGATCAGAGCAGAAACCATGAGGAGGAAGGATGCTGCAGAGCTCAGAGACAGGAGGCTCAAAAACATTTCTGCTGCATCGAAGGTTCCTGAGAAGAACAGTGGTCTCTATCATTCTGACATGAAGAAGTCTGGAACAACCAGGACTCTTTAGAGCTGGACCTGGACTGACTGAGACATCAGAGAGAAGAGAGGAGAAGAGAGGAGACCAAGAACCTGATGGTCTGTCTGAGCTGACCTTTAGACAATTGCATCATTGTCATGTTTTAAGTTTCTGCTTCTCGAACACGATTCTCGAAAATTCCTCATACTTTATGTTGTAATGTTGGTATGCCTGTTTTGCTGATGATGATGATGTCTGAGTCACTGTCTTCATCTGTATGTCTCCCTACAGACGACTCCAGCTCCAGTACCACTCCTTTGTCTTTCCAGCCACTGTCCCAGCATCACTTGGGCCAGGATGATGATGGCATCCCCACTGTCCACGTCATGCCATCCCCATCCTCCTCACCCAACACCAGTTTCAGAATACCTTGCTCACCCAGCAGCTCAGGTAAGTGGAGCAGGTCCTGCCAGCTGCTTACGCCAGCCATGTCTCCCCTGGGTGCACCGAGCTGTCTAGACATGAAAGACCATCAGCCCATCCGGAGGTGGTCCTCTCTCACCAAGTTGTCCTCTGGAGCTGAAAAGAGCTCCACTAGAACATCAGGCTATCAATACAACTCAGATTCACAAGGCTCCCTGGACAGAGGTCTGCTCTATGGGTATAGAAAGGAACCTCTTGGTTCAAATGTGGACCTTTATCTACCTTTATCCTCATCCTTGCTCTGCCATAGCTTGCTGCAGCGCTCGCCTGGCGCTGGCCCCTGCTACCGCTACAACCACAGCAGTAGATCCACCGGCTTGGACGCAGGCCGGTCTCTTTCCTCAGCTCTGTCCTCACCAGTAAGACACAACACTTTGGACATGAACTATAGTGCTTTACCAGAAGCTAAGCTGGGCCGGGGAGGGGGACAGGTTTATGGCCTAAGTTTACCCAAACAAGCGGACTCAACACTGGGTCACCAGACTGACAGAGGCTCCCCGATCCAGCCTGCAGTTCGCACCCAGATGTGGCTGACGGAGCAGATGGAGTATAGACCCAAAGCCGAGCGTGGAAGTGAACCTGGTCAAATCAGTGGTATGGGAACAGAGGGCTGTGGTGGAGATGGGCCTTCGTCATGGCAACAGGGACATCAGCAGGAACCAGGGCTTAACCAGGTGAGAGCAGTCTTAAAATAATTTGGAATATGGTCCAAAAACCATTTAACCAGTGATGCTGGTCAGTAAATTCACTCATACTGACAGAAGACTGTAACAGGAGTCCAAATGAAAGGGGCTGTTTTGCTTTGTTTGTTTTATAAAAAAAAGCTGCATGTTCTCAAATCTTATGTTTTATAGAAGAACAATGATTCACTAGACAATGCAGTTTCTGAAGAAACTGCAGGGGGGTTAAAGGATTCTGGAAAAGCTGAAGTTAAACCGTGTCAACTTTTTAAATTGACATATTATCCTCACAGAGACATAGCAGTGTGTGTGTGTGTGTGTGTGTGTGTGTGTGTGTGTGTGTGTGTAGTGTGGGAACAGTGTGTAGCATATATGAAGCTGGATTTTGACAGAAACATCAGTTAAGCACCACAGACATCAGAGAGGTCGTCTAATCTAATAAAGTATCTGTCTATCTACCTATCTAATCAGCTAATCTGACTCAGCAGAGGTTGCTATGGTGATCAAAGATGTGAAGCAGAATTGAAAAGATGATTTCTTGTGACCGAGAGATGGAAAAGTGTAAAAATCAGACCAACGAGACAACACTTCAATTTGGCTGGTTTATTGATGCACGAAGGACAGAGCTGGTGCTGGGTACACCAAGTCTCTCACTGAATGACAGAACTTGAGCTGCTTATATCCTCAATTGATCTGGGTATGGTAACTATCATCTGTTAACCTCAAGACCTTTCTCTCTGTGTTTCACTTTTATTGCTGACATCCTCCTGGAAGGGAGAGCATCACTAAATCTCTGCGGGATGTAGATAAACTCCTAAACAACAATATAACCATAAAACCCAGATGTATGATGGACTCCTTGGTATCCTGCTCCCCCGAAGGTCAGCAGCTTACCTAAGGTTTACTTTCTTAACATCCTTAAACCAAAGTCGCCAACATGCAAAACAAATACAACCTTACAAGAATTCATTAGGACTTAGGAAAAGAATCTGACTGCACTGACACTAAGATTTTTTTAACTAACTTTATTCATAACACATGGAGGATAAATCCTCCTTTCCTACCCACAGAACAAAGCAAACAGGACTGAAATGTTGAAATAAGATGACAGATAGAAATGTACAAGTAGAAAGAGTTGAGCCATTAAAACATTAATAAAAGATATAAGCATCTGAGTAAAGGGCCAGAGTCAATTATATTCAGACATCAGTAGGTTATATAGAGTTTTGACTTTTTATACATTTGTTAAGTAGAGAAAATTCATATTTTAGAGCAGTGAGCAGTTTTGAAATGACATTTATGTAGAGATTGTTATGATGATGATAATCATGATATGCTTGTTCTTCACGATGACTCCTAACTGGATTTAAAAGAGGGGAAATCTATATTCAAGGATTTCCATCAGATCTGGATGGTGTCGTAAACATAAAACAGCTGCTCTGATGTTTCTTCATTTATGTGGCTCTGCTGTGGTGAAACTACAATCCTGCATTGTTTTAAATGTTGCAGCAGCAAGGAATTGTGGGACGGCATGTCTCCTTTCCTTTCCTTTCCTTTCCTTTCCTTTCCTTTCCTTTCCTTTCCTTTCCTTTCCTTTCCTTTCCTTTCCTCAGCTGAGAGACACCTCTCAAACTCAGGTTTACCAGTCAAAGACTGTAACTCCTGTAAGTATTACATTGTGTGACAGAAGGGACTCTGTTGAATATAAATTGTTTGTTTGTGGTGTCAAATTGTGGAAGATACAACAGGTTATCTGGTTCTTGATATGTGCTGCAGTCTGTGGGGTGATGGCGCTCCTGTTCCTTTGAAAGTCAAAGCTCAAATTCTCTGAGTCACTGTGCTTTGGTATCACTGTGTGAAAGAAGAATAATTTGTCTACGTTCAGGGAGAAATTATGTGTGAAGATTTAAGTTTGTGGCCATGAGGACTAGTGTGTGGTACGCATTCTACCAGGTGAGCCACTGAGGGGGTTCAAGTTTTCCAGTTTAACAACTTCTCCCACTCTGAACATCCATTCACCTCCATTAATTTCTATGGGAAAAATTGTCAACAAAATGTTGAATATTTCAGAAATGATCAGACATATCACTGAGAAAAGTATTGTCTGGAGTCTCCCCATCGAGCTGCACCTTTTCACATTTGAATGGAGGTTCTATGACAAACGCTGCAGGACTACTTAGGTGCTCAAAAAGTGAGCAGAAGAAATACTCATAAACAAAATGGCTGCCAAGAAAAACATAAAAGCAATCAATTAAGAGTGTTGTTTATAATTTACATTCCTAGAGGTAGGTGTTCATGTCCACAGAAATCACTCTTCACACAAGACTGTGATGTCATTACATGATTTCATCATGTACTTGTGCCCTGTGTGTGTTTCTGTCTGTTACCAGATGCTGACTGGGACCTCCCTTCCTGTCAACACACTGGTGAAGGTTAAAGAGGGGCTGCTGAGACAGAGAGAACTGGAGATAGATAGGTACCACACACACACACACACACACACACACACACACACACACACACACACAGTATCTGAGTAACACAACACAGTTCAACAGCACCACAACCTCCGTCCTCTTTAATGACCTGTTGAATCAGTACCTCATAAACAGTGTCAACACAAACTGAACACAGAGCCGTCATGAAGGAGGATCTGTCACAGGACTATGGACTGTGTCTAATGGTTCAAACCCAGTGTAAAGCAGGAAATGAAGATAATAATATTTAAAGCCACTTTAAGAATCTGAAGCAGTTTACATGTATTAATCATTTTTTTATTGTCAATGTGTGAACGGATTGTGATGTATCTTCAAAAACAGACCTGTCCCGACTTTCTTTGTTGCCTGTAACAGCCTGAGGACTGATTTCTGTGTGCAGGACTTGGCACCAATTTTCCAGGAAAATCAAGGCTGTGACGTTTATGTTCACTTCCTGCTGCGTTTCCTCAGTGCCTGTCTTCTAGTGCCTGACAGCGTCAATAGAGTGCAACACCAGCTAATGTTAGCTTAGAAATGGAGTTCAAGGGGCATCGAGTGGCACAGTGGGTTGAGCAGGCGCCCCATATGTAGAGGCCACAGTCCTCACTGCAGTCAGCCCCGGTTCAAATCCCGCATCGGACGGCCCTTTACTGCGTGTCATTCCCCCTCTCTCTGCCTCCCCATTTCCTGTCTCTCTCTACTGTGCTATCTTTGCTTAAAAAAAAAGAAAAGAAATGGAGTTCAACAAACAACCAGCTCCTCGCACACAACAGACTCCATGTAAACACAAAAAACAAAAAAAGCTTTTACCTGGTGAAACCCATCAGGCTATTATCTGCCATTATCTCCAGAGTGTCTGACTCCGCCTCTGACTCCGCCTCTAACTCACAACTAATCCAAAAATGGACAAAGAGGAGGGGCATGTGTGGAGCTGAGACTTTTGTGCATACCGGTTTGTGGCAAGAATACGCTCACCCACCTGTCACTCAAAGAAGCCACGCACTCAATTATTCACAATTTAATAAAATGTTACAGTTCTCATGATGGAGGAAGCAAGCTGACCACAGTTTGGAGCCACAGCACAGAGTCTGAATATTTTTCTAAATGAGAGATTTCAGCTTTTCATTTTTAATAGATTTGAAAAAAGGAGTATTGAGACAAGCCGGTAGTCGATCTGAGACCGTGTGGAAAAGTCTTTAGGGTTCCACATGTATAATTTGGATGTCATTTTTCACCAGCTGACCTTTCAGATCCGTGAGCTCCCATAAGTCTGTTAGAATACTGTTGAACAGTCACTGAAATGTCTTCTAACAAGTCAGAAACCTGTCCACAGGTAAGACTGGACTAACTGGACAAGTCATGTTGTTATTAACTTGGACTCAATTTAATAGCAAACATTCAGCCTACAACACTGAGACTCTTACACACCCCTCTGTCCTGATGTGTTGAGGACTGCAGTGCACTCTCCACCTGCATTAATCATAAAGCCTCAGACAGACTCTGTACAGACTGTACACAACTCAGCTACAAGGCTTTTAACCAGAAGATAAGATAACTTCAAGCCACTGTCAGGTCTCTATCTGTTCATTTTAGGATCGATTTTAAAATCTTCTGCCAAACTTTAAAACGTTGCATGGCCATGCACTACAACTATATCACTGAGCTGTCCCACACAAATGTAAGCCAAGAGCCTTGAGCAGTGGCCTCTGAGCAGAACTGAATCCTAAGACTGACTGACCCTCCTCTGCTGTGTTTGTGTAGTGGAACATTTTACTTCCTCTTTTAATGTCGTTTTACAGAGAAACAAACAAACAAACAGACTTCTTAATATCTGACCCTGAGTTGGTCACTTCCTTTTAACGGTCCACTGAAAAACTGAATTATTTATCATGAAAGTTTTTATTTATTTATTTCGATATACACAAACAGACAGTGTTATTTTCTTTGGTTATGACCTACACAAGTAGTTCAACCGGATCATCACAGTGTCCCACTCATGCTGTGAGCAAAAAAACAGTCATGTGTTCATAGATAGGTAGGTAGGTAGATAGATAGATAGATAGATAGATAGATAGATAGATAGATAGATAGATAGATAGATAGATAGATAGATAGATAGATAGATACTTTATTTATCCCCTAGGGAAAATTCATGTGTCCATTAGCTCATTGTTGATAATAACAAAAACAGTTAATAAGAAATAAACAATAATAATTAGATTAGTCCACATCCTTTGGCTGAGATGATGAGCTGGGAAGAAAGGATCTCCTGAACCTCTCTGTTCTGCAGCACAGTGAGATGAGACGTTTGCTGCACCTCTAGCTGCTCCTCTGTCCTGCCAGAATGTTGTGGAGGGGATGGTTGGTATTGTCTTTATGTCATATGATACTATTTCTAACATCCATCCATCATGTTTTAAGATCTGGAGAGGAAGGACGTTTCCATAACCTGAAGATCACTCAGGCAGCTGTGATGACCCCCATCCTTATAAACTGCACAGTCATGTTTTGATATATTTATCCCCCAATAAGCACAGTCATCGTGATACATGCATCATCAAGCCCAACCACTTCCCTATGTGTTCCAGTACCTTTTCCCAAATTGCATGTAAAAATTTTCATATTTCTGTCTGACATTTCAAGCACAAATTATTGGTCAGTAAATGCATCCTGTGGAGTTTAGAAGGAGTAAAATAAAACCTATCTTTTATATTATACTAAATACATTTTCCCTCAGCCTCCTAAATATATTTCCCAGTGTTAGATTATATTTTTAACCATTCCTCATTGCCAAGATCACAGCCCAGGTCTCTCTGCCAAATGATACTCAGATGTTTTAAAACTGAATTATTACCATGAATTCAGGCTTCACAAGCACATGTTCACTGTTAATGTGTAGATGTGTAAATAGTATGTTTTAACATTTCTTTTATAAACTGTTTACATGAGTTGCAACCAAAACTATTCAGGAAGTTCCAGAGACTCTGGAATCTTCCTTTAAGCAAGAGTCCTGTCCCTTCTCAAAAACATATTTAAGCAATATCACACAAGAGGTCAAGATGTTGTACAGCAGCACGGCTGAGATTTGGTCATAAGACAATCGCTGATACTCAGAACAGCAATACAGCATCATGACCTTGAGTGTGATATTACTTTTATACAACAGTTCTCCAAACGCCATATATTTCATCATTTATTTGGCTATGCCAACACAAATAGTTCTGTAACTGGACTGGTACTGGACTGTTGCTAAGCAAAACATGAACATTTTCCTGCACAGTGCACACTAGCTTGCTACTTTGTCTTCACGTTACCTCAGGTGTGCGCTGAAGTATCCAGGCTTCTTCCCTTCATCCTCTTCTGACGACCAGACATCATTTAATACAAATGTTATTTCTGGAAATGTAAAGTTTGTTACAATCTAAGATAGATAACGACCGTTAATGTGACGCTGATTAATGGTTAAGTGGAGTGATACATGTAGCCAATCAAATTACACGGTCGGAACTAACTGTATAATTTATCATATAGTTTTCACCAATTTTATTTTATGTGACGTTTATGTTTGAAAATAAGACTATTAGAATGTCCTGTGACACTATGCTCAGTATGTTCCAACACTGATGCTTCCCGTCTCCTGTTTTGCATCTATTGGCTTGATCGCCTGTCTTCAGACACAGCGGCTGTATGATTTCAAAAGCATGTGCACTATATTTACAGGTGATTGTGTTGTAAGCAGGAAGGATTTTGTGTTTCAGGCAGAAGCAGCAGATCCTGCAGCTCCATGCGCGGATCAGAGAGAATGAGCTCAGAGCACAGCAGGTCCTGCAGAGCCAGAGAAGCTGGTTTGACGATCCCCACATCCTAAATACCAAGGTAACACCAAGCTGCACCTCTGTGATGAAGGAGCATATGCAAATTCATTATTTGATGGTCACATATCAAATATTCTCTTAATAAAAGCACAACTTCCGCTTGTCCAATAGGAGTCAGCGATGAGGACGCCGTGCAAGCAGCCATCTGATAGGCTGTGCTGTGATGAGGAACTCGGCAGGAAGCTGGCGGTGGCTGAACTGGAAGTGCTCCATATGAACGAGTTATTCAAGCAAGTCACAAATAAATACACAGAGGACATCAGAAAACTGGAGGAGAAGGTGCAGAGTTGACCCACAGGAAGCACTTTGTCTCATTGGTTGCTTTTCACATCAGTGTATGAATTCTGAGGCGTTTGTGTCCACAGATAAAGACGAGGGATCGCTACATCAGTAGTCTGAAGAAGAAGTGTCAGAGAGAGAGCGAGCAGAGCCAAGAAAAACAGCAGCGCATAGAGACTCTGGAGAAATACCTCTCTGACCTGCCAACACTGGATGAGGTGCAGGCCCAGGCCCAGCAGGTACACACACACGCACACACACGCACACATACGCACACACAAGCACAGGCTGTGGCTACGTGTCTGCCAGTGCAACCAAGTGTTAGTGGCAGTTGTGCTTGGCTCTTCTATAGAGGTAGAGATACTCCACCTGTCACCTGCAGCTCTTTGTCTCACACGGTTCCTTCTTTATTCATTCCTCCCTGCAAGATTTTGAAGTGAAAGCACAACTTTATTTATACGACACATTTCACTTCAGGTGGAAGCACAATGTGCTGCACAAAGCATCAATTATCAAGGAGGTGGCAACCACAAAAATTATGTGGATAGTGTAAAGATCAAACATTAAAGACAAATGAAAAACACATAAATGATACATATGAATTAAAAACTATTAATAAAATAAAAGAATTAAGACCAACAACTGATCAATAAAAAGGTGTGTAAATTAAAATTGTCAAAAAAGTAGGAATAAAATGTGATCAAAAAATAATAAATAGTCAGATAAAAATAAGACATAAAGCTAATAAAAGGAATAAAAATGAACAAATTTCAATGAACAAAAACAAAACTGCTGAGAGCTGAGAACAGAGCCACACGTGTTGAACCAATCAGTTAATTGCAGGACATGGCTTCAGCTGAAGGAAAAGGTTGGCCCCAGATGGCCCTGCTACTAAGCAGGACCACAGTCTGAGTCTGAAGGCCTATTACTCTGTTAGCACAGAGCTGTTTGTGGTAGGTTCACACAGCCAGTTCTCAGGTTGTACTTTGACTCTTCCTGAAAATCACTGAAATCTCTAACGTTGCCTAGTCCTGATCTACTGTTCCTGTCAACGCCAGTCCTGCTCTGTTTGTTCTTATCTCTAGCCCCTTTTCCAGAGACCCACTAACATCAGGCTTTTGTCGGCAATGGAAAAGGGAACAATCAGTATTCACACCTGGGTCACATAGCTCTGTAGTAGACCTGAGTGTTTCTTAGCTCTGGCTCTGATCAGCAGTGATGTAAACACAACACCTGAGTGAACATGTTAATTTTCACCCCTTTTCCTGCTGTGACGTCTTTCAGAGACAGACACTGTAACACACGTGTCACCTGTCCAGCACAGTGCTGTTATACCAGGAACACTGCCGTTACACCTTCCTCTGAGAGTGAAGCTGCAGCCCAGAAATAAGTTTTAAAAACACACAATCACTGAAGGAGGCGTCTCTCACAGAGGCTCTGACACTTACAGGAGCAACAACCTGAGGATGAGATGAGACACATCTGTTTTACTAGTTTACACAGCAGCTATCAGCTCACTCTCTCTCCCCTGTCTGTGTGTGTGCTCTGTAAGTGCATGTGATGACATCACTCCTTGCAGTTGTGTGTGTCCTCAGCCCGAACAGAAAGACAAACTCGACTGGCAGGGGAAAAGGAGTCAATCAGCTTTTATTAGCAGGTTCTGCTTATACCTGCTAACTTTGGTGGAAAATGGTGTTAGCCTCATTCAGTGAAGACCTCAGTGTGTGTGTGGGGCCACAAGCACTGAGGGCGACTACACACACACGCAATGTTGTGTCAAGTTAGGTGCTCAAAAGCCTTGACTGCACCTAAAAAGGCAAAAAAAAATTCCAGGGGTCCCCTCCAATCAACGTTCATTGTCTTCATATAATAAATAATCTGACACCAATGAAAAATGTACAAAATCTCAACTTTTTTTTTTCCAAATGTTCACAATAGGTTTTTCAAAATATAGCTTTAATATAAAGAATGTGGAAAACCTTGTAAATTTCAAAATATAGATTATAAAGAACAATAACAACCGAAATAACTAACTTCAATAACTAACTTCAACATTAGCACATGATAAATAATCAATATACCCACATCATAAGGCCAGTGCTCATCAACACATAAAACCCCTAAAGGCCCCGTGTTGGCAGCAGTGATTTTCTCACTAGCTTTAGCTTGAAAAAAAATGCTAATTATATAGGAAGTAACAGTAAGTTCAGTTTAATTGAGATGTCTTTAGATCTGAAAAAAATATTGTGTATGCATTCGGAGACATTGCTGTGGAGTTAAAGTGATAGTTGTGGTTATTTGAAGTGGGGTTGTGTGAGGTAGTCGTGCACAGGCAAGTGTATTACCTGCAGTAGATTCAGTCTAGAAAAGCACTCAACCTTGGGGCCTCAGGCTGTTAGAGGGCCCCTGAGGTGGGGTTGCACTGCCTATGCATGACTACCTCACACAACCCCACCTCTGAGGCCCCAAGCAGTTGCCTACCTTGCCTGTTCACAAGCCCTGTGTGTGTGTGTGTTTGTGTGTGTGTCTGTCTGCCTGTGTGTGTGTGTGTGTGTATGTGTGTGTGCTCAGCAGGAGGAGGTCCAGCAGAAAGCAAAGAACCTGGAGAAGAGGGTGTGTCAGCTGCAGAGGAGCCTGGAGGAAGGATGTGCTCTGATGAAGGAGAAGGACATCAAGATCGAGATGCAGAGCAGGAGAGAGAAGGAGCTGATTGCATCTGTGCACAGGTGCATCATCAGCTAACACCTGTCACTGATGTTGCCTACTGCTGTTGCCGTGATGTAAGGTGTATTCAGACTGAATGCAGAGAAAAAAAAGGAAATCTTCACCTTGTTATTCATGCTAATTTGACCCAAACAGCTGGTGGACGAACCGTAAAGATATTTACTGTGTCTGGTTAGGAAAAGAGACATCGTCACATGTGTGTGTGACTCTGGGGCGAGTTGCACAAAGCACCTCAAGTTTTCTACTTAAGTATTACACTTAAGGTTTAATTTCTCCTTAGTTGAGGGGGTTACTCAAGGGTGTTGCACAGAATAACTTAAAAGGTTTCTTTTCCTAAGGAAAAAAGTTAAGGCATTTTATCATCCATTCATCAATTCCTCTCGTTTAGGGTCCATCAGGTTCTTCTGATCGTGGAAAACTCTTGTTCATCCTCTTCACTTATCACCATGTTGCAGTTAAGATACAATCAGAGGTACCTTTAGTTTTTTCCTTAGTTTGGTCTCTAAGGTCTTCTGTGCAACAGCTTAACTGACTTTAAGTGATTCCTTAAGTGTAAGACTAAAATAAGAGGAGAACCTTAAATAGTCAAGTGAACACTTTAAGGAAACCTTAAGGAGAAGACTTAAGGGTGATTTTTGCAACTGTTCTTATTTTAAGGAAATCGTAACTCAGACTTTAAGGAAAATCTTAACTTGCTTTGTGCAACTGGCCCCAGATCTGAAAACCTGCAGGAGCTTCAGCAGTTTTTCTTCTGCAGCTTCTCTTTGTCTTATCTACATTTATGAAAATGAGTCATGTAGTCTAGAAATAAGAAACCAATATTTTGCTCAAACTGAAACATTTTTAACTCACATGGTCACAGCTTCACCTCAGTTCACATCACCTTTGCATTAACTATATACAGCTGTGCTGCATTCAGTCTGAACAAACTCCTCTCTACATTTGATCAGACTAACACGGTCGTGTCTCTTGTTCTCGTGTCTCGTCTCGGTGCAGCCTGCAGCAGAAGGTGCAGAAGTGTCTGGATGACGGGGTGAGGTTGCCTGTGCAGGACCTGAAGCGGCTCGAGGTGGAAAACATTCAACTTCTGGAGCAGCAAGACCACAGCAGCAGGGTAGCATCCTAAACACACACACACTAATATATGCACATACACACATAAAGACAAAAGGCCATTAACATGTTGTCTCTGCTCCACCACCAGCTGATCGAGCATCAGAGAGAACAGATTGAGAGGCTGACCCTGCAACTAACGGTATGGTAATGAACACTTCCACACAGTGTGCCTCATTCAAATTTACCTGACAACCAAGTGACCACAAACAACAGACAACAACAAGCTGTATTCTAGTGAAAGGACTGACACTTTGTAATGATCAGCACAAGGCCGTCGTCAAACTACCTGAGTGAAAGCAGGAAACGACAGCTCAACATGCTAAGGACAGGAAACAGGCACAGTCTCTAATGTTTGTGATGTGGTCATGACTGACATTGTTTCAATAGATGGTTTTTCAGTGACATGTGACATCATCATGTCTCTCGTTAAACATATTTCAACACTATATCACCTACATGAAACCACTACGTTGTTTTATTTGTATGTTTATTTATGAGGATTAAACAGATACAAGCTAACATGATAGACTTCACCTTCATACAGCATTGATACCTTTGATTTGATTTTTATTCTTCTCTAAAGTTAATGACCTTTTTGAGCCTAAACTTGCTCAAAAATGTATGAAACTTTGCAGGCCTGGTGAAAATTTACATATTTTAGAAAATTTCAACAAGGCACTACTTGCACTGTGTTTCACCTACGTGTGCGAAATTTGATAGACACATGTAACATGGCAAGACCTTCTAAACAGACTATAGGTGCCCATACCCTAAACCCTACAGGAAATGAGATATTTTGAATTTACTGTGCAATGTTAGCGCAGTTTTTGGCATGTACAGGCATTGGAGTTTAACGAACTCCTCCTAGTGAATTAATCAGATTGACATCATATTTGGCCAGTCTCATCGTGAGACCTTTTTGACGCTAAATTGTGAAGCTTTTGGTTTTCATTTGACTCATCATAACTCCAGCACTCAATGCATTTTGGTTACATCAAGTGGCGGCGGCCCCAGGGTGCGTGACAGGGCGAGGGCCGGCATAACGCTGCTTGTTGTTTTTTCTTTTTTCTTTTTGTAAAGGGCCAGCCAGTCAGGAGTCACACCAGAGACCTGCTGCTCAGTGCTCACTCGGCCATCGGGCTGCCCCAAAGTTGTTGTTTTTTTAACTAACAGTCTTGGTGCCACCAGCTGTTGTACCCATTTTCGTACGTTACAGACACAGCATAGGAGATAATCAGGAAGAAAACAGAAAAGCAGTAGAAGGAAACAAATGAGGTTTTATTTGAAACTATTAAATTCTAAATTTAACAGAAGAATTTGATTATTCATTTTCCAGAACAGGCGTTAATAAAATAGAACAATCCCGGGAAAACTGGGATAGGTGGCAACCCTACCTTCATATCTCTGAACAGAACCAGGCTAGCTGTTTAGCTTTGTGCTAGGCTAATGTACCCAGCTCCTATAGACTGACATTTAACTGAGGGTGATGTTGACGTTCTCATCATGCTCTTTGGAAGAAATCAAATATTGATTAGTAGTGTATTTCCCAAACTGACTAACCATTACTTCAAAAAAGCTGTTATCTATATTTTTATATTAACAGTGGGTCACTTTACTGCATTTTTAATGTAAGTGTTTGTGACGTATTTATCATTTTTGGTCCAAACTGTCTGCACCATCGTCATCATTTATCTATCAGCCTTGTCTGTGCCTGGCTCCATTTAACAGTGTGTAATACTCAGTAGAAAACCTCTGTCCCCAATCACTCATTATAGTTTATTTATTTATTTATTTAATAAGGAAAATGTAATTTAACATGGTTCCAATACAGAGCATGAAACTGATGTGTTGCACAGAGAGTTTATAGCTGTTGCTCATTTTGAACTCTTCCCTAGTTTTACATGTACAGTGCAATTAAATCAATCAGTTTTCACTGTCATAAAAACACAAGACACTACAGATATGGAAGCAAAGTCAAATACTGTACTGAAATGCATTGACTGTGATGTACAGTCTAAGTAAGAGACAACAACAGCAACAACATTTCTGACCTCATACACAGTCTGTCTGTTGTTCCTCTAAAGAGGAAATCAGGCTCACAGACATGTTCTGTGCTTTGTCAGGCCACCAGTACAAGACTGCAGAAGAAAAGACGACAGCAGGAGGAGAGCCCGGCCCCCCCATCCAGAGCCCTACCACAGGTATCAGTGTTGAGTGTTTACTTGCTGCAGAGTGCATAATGAGCTGGAGGTTGATGTGTTTACTGATGAGACAGTGGTTAGGTTGTTCAGATTTCTAAAACTGATATCCAAACTGATCTCAAGAGTTTTACAGTCAGTCAGCTGAATCCACACCAGCTCGGAGACGTTCATGTGTCTCATACAGAAACCCCTGCTCAAGAGTTTCTACATGCTATGAAGTAGTACACCAAACTACCCACACACCCATAGTGGGCCCCATGGGGCCAGGCCACCTCCCAGTCTGACTGCTGTGACCACACAAACAAACAAGAGTTGTAGTCACGCCAGACTTTGATTTGCACCACACATGACTGACCGAGGTCGTAGCCGCACCTGTTCTCATGATGTGCGTTCATGTGAATACATGTAAAACGGTGATTGTTGCTAAGAAACACACTTCACTCTAACTTGGACCTTCAAACAAGCTGGAAGAAGCTGTAAAATCAGAGCACAGTCAGCAGCTGCAGGGTGGGGGAGAGCTCCGTGTTTCTGTCTGATGCTGTAGTTGAGGGGAGGGATACTCCATTAGCTCAAACAGAGCCTGTCTGCCAAAGTGAAACCTCTCAATCAACTGACTGTCTGAACAGACGTCCAGTGATTTGTCACTGATGACATTTTCTCATCTTTTTTCTTTTTGTTATTTATTCTGTGAGCAAGACATGCTGCCATCCATGTTTTTTTTTCATGGTTGTGTATTGTTACCATGGAGACCGGTCCGACTTTCCAACTTACACCTGCTCCATACTAGATGGAAAAGTTACACCCAGGTGTAACAGATGCAGAGCCTAAGTCTAAGTGGTTCACTAGTCATAACTTTCAGTTCTAAGAGGGATGTAACGTCACACCCTGGCGTACGCCCAGCTGCTGCACTGCGCTCCAGGACCTTTTACTAATGTGTACCTGTGGCTCCACAGACACAGCGGGTGTTGGTCAGATGTCACCGACTGTTTCTTAGTCACTGTTATAAAACATCAACAACTCAAAGTTATAGTAAAAATTAGACCTGGCTGTTTTCCTAAATTTATCCCGTCACGTCCTCACAGAAGTGGAGACATCTGGAGAACTGGTTTCTGATCAGTTAAGTGTATTAGTTGACACAGAATTTAGATCTGGAGGAAATTAAAAAACGCGCCTTTGTTTCCCATTGTGAAGCCACGGCAGGTAGATGAAGGCTTGTTGGTGCATCCTCTATCCCACCTGGAGATGCCAGAAGTGGGCCGGCTGCTGAAAGAGATGTCCCTGTGTCTTCTGGACCTCCAGGCGCTCTGCAACATCCTGGCTCAGAGAGCACAAGGGAAAGAGCCCAACCTATCTCTGCTGCTGGGCATGAAATGTACGTGGATAACACACACACACACACACACACACACACACACACACACACACACACACACGTAGTGTGAGTATCATCACATACCTAGTGGTACCTTTTCGTACTTTCCTGTCTCTATGCAGCGTTGAGTGTGTCAGCGGAGGAGAGTGACTGCAGAGCGGTTGTCGAGGAAGAGCTGAGGGTCAAGCTGCTGGAGGTCGGCCAGCTGAGGAGAGACATCGATGAGCTGAGGAAGAGCATCTCAGACCGCTACGCCCAGTACATGGGTGACAGCTGTGTCTCCCAATGACACCCAGCACTGCTCTAACCCAATATGTGTTTGAACTGTTTTATTTCTCAGTACTTCATAGATAACCACATAAAGTACTATATTAATCATGAGAATTATAAGGTTCATTATAAGGTCACCATCATGGATGATGGAAGATGTTGTGTGAGCAGTCATGTTGTTGTATAGAGTGGCTGGCCTTCACATTTGTTGTGGACTCAGTGGGACTGAGTGAGCTGCAGCCTACAGTTCTGTCTTGGACCAGTAGTCTGCATCACACCACTGCAAACAACATTTACATTAGACTCATGACTCAGCAGTTAACGTAGACCAGAAGAACTGACCTGGAGAAAGAAGGATGACGAGACAGCACAGCTGGACACTCATGAGATGTGGGTGACGAACTTGTCTGACAGAAGCTCAGTGCAGCAGATAACTGTAATAATCTTTAAAATGTGGATACAAGGACCAAAATTTGTACGTTTATTCCTCTGGGTCATTCATTTGAAAAATCCCATTAGCCACTTGAAATTTCAAAATTTCCACCATTTTCCAAGATGGCTGCCATTTTCAGCATAGAAACACGTTTTAACACAAAATTTTACCCACAAGACAGATTTCAGTGATTTCACAATTTTATCTTATGTTTTTGATTCTGATTACGTCAAATGCATTTGCAATTTCTAATATGTGAAAAATTAATAAAACACAATGTAATTACAAACAATCTATTATGAATCATGAGCAAGCTAGCAAGCTAGTTCACAAGTTAGCAGTTAGCAAATAGTCCTGACATATCACCTAACACTGTCACATTCAGAGAGCAAACAGTTGATAATGTTAGGCATGATTTGACCATGATAATACTAGGCAACATTTAGAGCTTACTACAAACATCATCACCAAAAGAGAAACGTCCTAATATCTCAATATGAAAGAACCATTTTATGATGTTCTCATTTAAAAGAAAAATATCCTGCAAAATGAATCCAAATTTTTTGTGAAAAGAAAATCTCTTTATTTTTAAATGTATAAATTATCACAAAGTCGTGATTTTATTAGGAAATGTATTTTGTGAGTTTGTACTCGTATGCAAGTTTAATTTTTTACAGTGAACTAAATTTCACCTGCGTTGTAGTAATGTACGATTTGACACCTACGTTATTCATATGAGAAAATGTGGATGAAATTATTGCAAAAAATAACATTTTCTTGCGGCCATCTTGAATTTTGAAGTGGCTTAGGGTTTTTATCAAAAGAGTAATACCCAGGGAGGATTTGTGCCAGGTTTATCATTTGTATCCACATTTGAAAGATTTTTCTGAAATATGCAGTTATCTGCTGAGCTAACTGGAAAAGATTTGTCTTAATTAAGGGAATGAACTTCACAGGAACACTGGACAGATACCAGTAGTAGACCTCATCACAGCCACAGCCACAGAATCAGAAACAATAACTTGGTAGATACAGAGGTGGAGTAGCCCAGGTTGAAGGTATCAATCGCCCTCACCAGTGTGAAAGCACACCTTCCAACCTCACCATCCAAGACAGGAAACCACTGACATCGCTCCAAAGAGACCGGCATCACCATCCTGCTGGCTGATAAAGGAACACGCACAGTGGTGGTTGTCAAGGCGACCAGCAGCCGAGGAGAGTAGTGAACTGCCTTAACCAACTGGAAAAGGACCATCTGCGTGCTGCTCGACCAGTTTCATGGCTTTCACAGTAAACCAAGTGTACCAGACTCTCCTGGACAACAGCTGTGGATGTGGAGGAGTCGACACAACTGAAGGAAACAGAACTAATCTGACTGAACACACGTTTATAACTGCAATGACTGAGTGTCATGTGATGAACCCAAAAAGAATCAGTTTCTGATTCTGCCATATGTGTAAATAAGCACCTGCTTGCTAACAGAGTCACCATAACAACAGGTGGTATGTCAGTGTTATATTCACAGCCTATTGGGCTGTAATGGTTTAAATAATACTACAGGTTACAGGAGAAAGCCTTCACATATTCAGATTGATTCAGATGGGTACTGTAATAAATATGCATAACAATGTGAAAAAACTATAAGGCAAACTGTGGAAGCACATATTCAGACTGACATCAACCTCAAACATCCACCCTCTCTCTACTTAATGAGACTGAAATGGATAGCAGACTTCTAGATGTTAGAAACTCTTATCTCTGTGATTGAAAATGTCTTAATGAGCAATATCAGCTGTGCTATTAACGTGAAGGCACCCGCAGATGAATATGGGCAGATAGATAATTCACTAATAATTTCATCAGGTGATGTTCAGCTGTTTTATTTGTACAGGCAAGAAATTTCTCTGGCATCATATCATGTTATTTATCATTTGTCACTTTTGAAGAGCATATTGTTTCCTTTAGCCTTGAGTGCAGTGAAGCTTGCAGCCAAAGAGTCTGACAGAGCAGACTGAAACGGGAGATGCACTTTTTGGTAGATTTTGTCTTATATGCCACCAGACATGTTGTAGAATAAATGAATTCCAAGCTGGAGCTATCAGAGAGCTAACTGTCAAACATTTAGTCTGCATGATTGAACAGGTTTGTAACATTTAGGTGCTCTGTGTGAGTTCTCTGTGTTCATTCCACCTCTGGCTGATCTGACAAGCCACTGGCTGGCTTGTTCCTCTGTATAAGAAATTATTCTCTGATATTCTTTCAGTTTTACTGCCAAAATCTATGAATGCCAAAGGTATCTTTATTTACAGCAATGTTCCTCAATAAGGTTTTTGTCCATATGGAGGTTTGATCATATTTGTTCACATAGCAAATAAAATTATTTTTTTAAAGAATCATGTTGAATGTATGTTATGTATTTCTTACAGGTGTCAGAATACCTGCAGTAAAAAGTGCAAAGTAAAAATGATGTTGGTCAACAACAAGTAGCAGGTTCCAGTAAGTTTAATGTGTTTTATTTCATGCTCACAGGAAGAGATAATACCTGCAGTAGAACAATACTTGACATTCACTGAGGAAGATCAAACATACTGAAAAGTTATTAAAAACTAATTGGACAGTTTCCCTAAATGTGGACCAGAAGCAAACAGAACCACAGAAAACACCTGCATTTCAACTGAGGATGGTGATTGAGATGCAGGATGAACAGCTTACAGCTGGGTTCAGAAGAATCCTTCAGAAGGTTCAGAACCAGCTGCTCAACAAGAAGGTAAGACAGGGACATTTCACCATCGATGATGGTTAGATGCTTGAGGAACTGACATCACATCTACCCAGTTAAGTCCTGAGGAAGTCTCCAAGTTTGTAGAAAAGAGACCAACAACACACCGAGAGCAAAGAACCACAGATACACAAATTCCAAACATTATACCCACGACTCAGAAGTAGAACAGGAACTAAGCTAGAGAAAAAAGGATTATAACCAACAAGTCCTCAAACCTAAACCACCATATAGGTCGTTCTTTTCAACCCTCTGATACGACCCATAGGAGTGTTTACTGAAATAGCGCCCCTAAGGCGGCATGCCTACCGGACCTTGATTGTCATGGTTACCATAATAAACGACTGTACTCGGAGCTGCGTACCTAACGTTGCCATGGTTACTAATGACGGCCATGCTCTGGTTAGGTTTAGGCACAAAAACTATTTGGTTAGGGTTAGGAAAAGATCATGATTTGGGTTAAAGTAAGTAGGCTACTTCCTCAACATCAAACGATCTTTGTTGTCATGGTTACAATAATAACACCAAACGGTGATGGATAATAGAAACAATATAAATGACTGGTTTCACATGGGATCACAGATCATATTCCTGTGTTTTGTTGACTCGCTTCTATTGATTATATTGTTGACTATACTACGTCACCGCACTTTTCCCATTGCTCCCGTCATAATTACGACGACCGCCAGATGAATTTGCCCAAGGGGATAAATAAAGTATCTATCTATCTATCTATCCATCTATCTATCTATCTATCTATCTATCTATCTATCTATCGGCTCGTTTTTCACAGGACAGTCTCATGACAGCACAACACAGCTGGACACTCATGAGAAGTTGGATGAAGAACTTGTCTGACAGAAGCTCAGCCAATAGTTAAAGGAATTGTCTTAGTTAAGGGAGTGAACTTCACAGTAACACTGGACAGATACCAGTGGAGACTCATCACAGCCACAGAATCAGAAACAACAGTTTGGCAGATACAGAGGTGGAGCACCCTCACCAGTGTGAATGCAAAAATAATATATCAAAAACACAATCAGTTTAACATATGACAATCATTTGTGGCCCACTGCTGTCCTCTGCTGGATGTCTGTGGACCACCCCCAAGCGTGGACCGCATGGCAACACCACAGTGGTGCAAATTTCTGTAAAAAGGTGTTGACCCCAATTGCATTTGAGTGGTCACTAAAATGTAATGGTGTGTTACTGGATAATACAGTAGATACTGAAATTTAACACTGGATCATTTGCATTGTACATCTTAAACTATTTGTTTATTTTTGTCTATAATGTATGTGTTAACACATTTTATTATGGATTTGATATTGTTTAACACATTTCTAACTGAATCACATCCTGGTGCTGTCTGAAGGCGTCTGATTCAGTCTGTTAGCCTCCAGGTCCAGATTGCATGCAAGTGATTGGACCATGTCAAGCTTGATTGCAGGCGTAGTTTGAATTATAATTTATTTTCTCTGAGGTGAGCTTTAAGGGACTGAAGACATTTTAAAGACATACTCCAGATGTATTACAAACAAACCAAATTGAAAACAAACTTTATTTAAAGGCTAAATAAATTGTTTAGCTTGAATACATTACTTATAAAGATGCACATCATATACTGTATGTGAAGAGTTTAGAGACACAAACCAAGCGCCGAGGGAACACAGTAGGAAAAAGCAAGTAGAGACCGACATGTGAATGCTGTTAGGTCACAGAGTCATACTAAGGGTTCCACTTACTCGTGCTCCTTCGGGTCAGAACACTGGCAGGTAGCAGTGGTGCCAACAGACACAAGAGCTGGGCACCACAAAATATTCAACTGGATATCTTATATCAAACAGTACACTGGTGAGGCTGGTGTCAGGGAGGGGCTGACTGACCTCTTAACTCGTTGTAGAGTACTTTGCAATTTGTTGTACTTTACTGCATTAAATTACTGTGAAGTGTTCCTGACAAAATACAGTGTGTTACAATAGAACTTAATGTGATACCATAAAAAAACAATAACAAAGTATACAGCAATACACACAAATTAAGAAAGACCCCATTATTAAAAATGATTGTATTCAATTACATTATATCATACAAGTGTTATTGTGGCCCACCCCTGTATATTCAACATACAGTGACATGCCAAAATATGTTAGTGATGGAACAAGGCTAAAAAGCTCTGGCGGGAGAATGGGTCAAAGGAACATCCACCTACAGTCACCACATTCCAAATAGGATTCAACACCACGACCAGGTTGGAGGTCATACACTAGTATGACAAGTACAGTCACTGAAATAAAAAATGTCTTGACTTGTTCCGTTCTGCCTAAAATTGACATATGGCATCATCTTCAGTCTCTGATTGCTTTGCTCTGAAGAGCTTCATGACCTGACCAGGATCCCCTGAACGTAGCATTAAAAAGGTGACCGCTTATGACTGAAAACGTTAGACAAAAGATGAGACAGCACCTGTCAAAGCTTTACGACTCATGCTGCCCTCACAGACAGAGACGGCTGCAGTGTGATGCAGATACAATTCTCTTTTTCACAGCCACTGTTGTCAAAAGGTAAGAGCAGTCACCAGAGGGTAAATTACATCACATGAAAGAATGTTCTACATTTTATGGATAACCATAGAGAAAGACTCTTTCAGTGTTTAGTATGTTCCTTTATGTAGTTGTTGGATATTTGACCCTGGATACATGATTCAACAGACGACCTTCCTACCTACCTGCTTAGGTTTTATATGCGTTTTAAAAAAGATTTTACTGCATTTTTTCATTTGATGTTTATTTCACTACAGTTTTTTCATTGGACTTTTTAACATCTCACCTGAATGTGAATGAACGGCCTTGCTGTTGCTAGGTACAATGATCACTTGTGTGAGAGCCTTGTCAACAGATTTATTCTCTTCGAGTAGAACAGTCTTTAAAGATATTTTCCTGGCCTCTCCCGGGATCCCTACAAGACAATGTCGTATTGTCATAAAGTTGTCAAGACGAAATGAATAACTATACAAACAGAAGCAAAACACTCACAAGTGTCTCCCTGAAAGACATTTTCAACTATGAGTAACCTCTTCCTCTGATGTCTGAGCCTCCAGGACAGCATCCTCTCTTCTCATATACAGCTGTCCTGACGATTCCCATAAGTATCTTCATAAAATATCTCAAAAAACATTGTTCAGTATCACTCCCTCCTCTACATATCTTTACACCTCTGCTTCTTCAAATATGTATTTTACCCCACATCATTGCCACATGCCCAGGCTAAACCCCCAAATCCTACCATCCTAGAACACCAAGAGGAAGAAGGGAAAACAGACGCTTTCTGTTCATTTTCCCTTGTTCCTGGGTTTCTCAGAGAATCCTTTGATTCAGTTCTTTGAGAGGGATTTCCCCTCCAATCCTTGTTGTCTCTCCAAATAACAATGGCTGAGCCTCTAGAAGGAGCAGTCAGTCTCAGGAGGCTTTGAGGGGGTTTCCTCTGAGGGGGTCTCACTGGAGATCCCAGTATCTCCATTCTCTGGTCCATTGTTCAGTGACATCTTCTCCAGAGCTGCAGGGTGGACACAGATTTATAAGTTATAATCTATATGTTATATTCATGTTATATGTTTTTCTACATTGACCAGAAGCATCACTTGCAACCACAGCAGAGTTGTACCATGGTGTGTAGGCACTAAGAGTTTGGGGGGGGGGGGTAGAGGCTGAATCCTATTTTGTATAAAATCAGAATCAGAGAATCGGATTCTGGTTCATTCTCAAGTAGGTTTCCATATATGAGGGATTTGCTTTGGTGTTTGGGTGCATAACGATAAATATAGTAAGATGAAATATAAACAAAGATAAAACAAGCAAGTATTGTTATTATTAATAAATATAAAAAACAGATAACAATAAGATAAAATATTTACAATAAAAATATAAATAAATAGAAATATTACAGAAAAATATAAATATAATAAAATATGTACACTGTTTCTGTCTCTAGCCTTGTTACTGAGATATTACGTTCATGAGAATGAGACAGATGGACGTGTGGAGGAATGAAAATGAATGATTTTTTTCTCTGGACAAAAAGAAACAAAGTACATGTTTGGAAGTTTCCTAAAAGTTTGAACCAATTCCTGATAAAACAAAGTTAAGTTTAAAAGCAGTAAAACGACTCCTCACAGATCAGTATTCAACAGCTGTCGGCTCATTACACCCCAAGCACGTACTTCAACCACAGAGGACGAAGACTGAGCAGTCTGTTTATGTGTGTATATGTTTATGTGTGTATATATGTTTAGAATTTTATTGTTTTTGTTTTCCTTTTCTTTATTTCAAAAGCAGAACGGAGAACGTTGTATTTGAGAATTGAAGCACTGTGAAGGACTTTTTATGGATCTGTGTGCAGCTAATTAGTGGTCAAAACAAGTTTTGAAAACGCACCTTGCAGAGATGCAGAGCTGTTGCTAGGTGGTGCTGTGCTGCTGTCGTCCAGCTCATCCAGGTAGAGCCGGTAGCGATGGCCACTGTCGTCTTCATACTCCACATTCTCATCATCACTGTCCACCTCAGGAGCCACGTACACCACTTCAAACTCTATCTGTCCTCGCTGACAAAGACACAGAATGACCACTTTTAAACTAGCATGAGCCCCTGGTGGTTGTCTGCCTCCTCCGCTCAGACTGGTTTCAGGTTACATCCCTGTATTTGTGTGAAATTTTGTCATAATTGCTGTGAATAAAGGCTAAGAAGTGTTTTAGGAGGTCACAGTGTCTTTGACCTTTGATCACCACAATCTAATCAGTTCGTCCTTGAGTCCCAATGAACAATTGTGCCAAATTTCAAGAAATTCCCTCAAGGTTGCGTTCACAAGGCCAAAACCATGTTTTATGAGGTCACCGTGAACTTGATCCCTTGACCTTTGGCCAACAAATGAGTTCGCAGAGGCTGCAATGATCCTAAGCCATCTAATCAGTCCATCCTTGAGTCCTAGAGAATGTTTGTGCCAACTTTGAAGAAGTTCCTTCGAGGCGTTACTGAAATATCATGTCCACAAGGATGGGACTGACCGCGGTTATGTGTGCATGTGTATGTGTGTGCTCTCCTGTGTTACCTGCTGGGACAGAATGGTGACAGCCTCCTTGTGTTTGGCATCTCGCAGATTGATGCTGTTGACAGCGAGGATGGCATCTCCGACATGCAGACCTCCACATCTGTCTGCGGGCTGACTCGGATGGATCTCTGAAATTAAAATGGGAACACCGTGCTCCTTCCCGCCCTGATGAGAACAGACACACAAGACTTGACTCAGCTCGCCTGGAACTGTGCTCCTACCCTAAAATTTCCATCACTCACACCAAATCTGATTTCATCCCAATGGGCATGCAAGTACTCTGCAGTCATACAGCCATTTTTGTATATATATGAATTAATTAACAGCTCAATCAGTGGCTTCAGACAGTGAGCATCTGGCCACCTCCAATCCCACTCAAGACCAAGCTGCCACTATCCACCGACTGTAATTAGCTCCGGTGTGGTTTCTGTGGTTCTATAGTCACACAGACAGCAAGTTGAAAAAGTTGAACCATACAGCTGTGTGAAAAGGTTTGGGGGCATCCATGGGCAAATACAACTCAGCTACAATACAACACAAACAGACATTAAAGGTTCTGTAAATGAGATTTTAAACAAAAATACAGCAGTTGACAACTGTTTTCTCTGTAAAGATATAGTGTAGTCATGGCATGGCTCAGTGCAGGCCAGCGTTCAGGTGAGAGTGACCTTCAGAATTTCCTCCACTGAAGAAGAAAGAGACCAGACCAGAGCACAGGTGGACTGGACTGAGGACTACCGGCTCAAATCCTGGTCGGCCGGTGGACCATCAAAACATCCGTATAGTTTTTACCGGCTCCATCAGTGCATCCGGTCCCAGTGGATCAGTCCAAGGCTGAATCTCTGTCCCAGTCCGTGGAGCCAATACTGGCCTGGTTTACTGAGAGGAGAACCCTACCAGCTGCTAAAGGGTCCGGCTGGACTCAGAACTGGGTTTTCTTCTCTTTGATGCTACATAATGCTACATTAGTAATAATAATGCTACAGTAGACATGATAACTTGCTGTTAGCCATATTATCAATGTGTTCAGCAAATGTTGCTATCGCTAAATACTAGCATTGCTGTGTAGCATATCACAGCAGTGTTAGCGTGGACCAATGGTTGTAGTTAGATTATTTTTTGTTGTTTCTCGTGTACACAGGGTAACTTTATTCAGTTGAGCTTCTGTTTAGAGGACAATTTCACTGGGCTTCATCACACACATGATCTGTATGGAACAGTTACTAGAACAGTTATTCCAAGAACACCATCTGTTCACAAAAGACTTAACAATGCAGACCAACATTAAGACAAACCAGAGGCTGAGTTCATTCCCTGCTGCTGCACCATCTCTTGACATTGCAGCTGTTAAAATGGATCTGGGGTCTAACTTAATGATGCTGTCACAGAAAAAACAACAGGGTCTTACTGTAATGGAGATTCCCAGTCCCTCATGGTCATCTTTGACTAGCACCACCTTTCTGATGGGGCCTACTCCTTGGGTTTTCTTCAACATGTCTGGGTCCTGTAATGACATTAACACATTTAAATGTGAAGGCACAGATAAAGGTACCAACAGGCTCAGCTGTTTTGTAGTTTTTCACTCACATGCCCCACGGGGGAGGGGAGAGGTTTCTTAGGATCATTGCGACCTCTACATGCTCGGATGACAGTCTTATGGCGGTGAAGGTGAATCTCTGCCTCTAGCTGGTTCCACAGCTTGTCGTGTGCCGGTCCTTTCATGTCACGGCCTAGTAACTGGATCTGCTGCACCCTGGGAGACAAACCAAATCTTGTTTCAGCTAGTCCACTTTTTATGTCAACATGACAAATAGAACAAGAAGTTCTCATTCTAAGTTCTTGCTTGGACACTGCCAAGATGGCGACGGTAGAGCAGCTCACTCTAAGCTTCAAAACCGCTCCTCAGAAACCTGTGGGTGACGTCACAGAGGCTACGCCCATCTTTATTTACAGTCTATGGCAACAACAGGTCCACCACGACTTATGGTAAAAGAACACACCATTACTGATGTATGGAGTTATTTAGTATTTGTGGCAGATCATCAGGGTCAAGTTGTAGACGACCAACAGTCAGTGAGCAAACAGTGTCAGAGGAGGATACAGTTCAGAGAAATATTATAGTATTTGTGGCCAGTGCACCTGCAGAGCAGGTACTCCACACTTCTCCTATAACATATTTTAACCTTAGGATAAAGACATAGAGTTAATGTCTCAACTAAAACACATTATGTGTAATCATGTAATTTCAAACTACTAGTGTGTGTACTGAAGAGGATAGATAGATAGATAGATAGATAGATAGATAGATAGATAGATAGATAGATAGATAGATAGATAGATAGATAGATAGATAGATAGATACTTTATCTATCCCCTACGAGAAATTCATGTATATAGAATGGAAGCCTGCAATTACTACTGTGTACTTGCTTCTCTAAAAGTAAGTACAGGTTGTTTACATGACCCCACCACTGGTTATTATATTATTGTTTATCATCAGTTGTAGTGTTGTAACATATTATATCTTAGTAACCCCTCCACTTGAACCTACAGGTGTTGTGAGCTCCAGCTCTTACCTGCCAGCCAGTTCCTTGTCCAAGTATTTGGCCGCCAGTCTGGCTCCGTACACTTCGGCCTGCAGTACCGCCATGTGCCTGCGGAGGGCCTCATTTTCTTTCTTATATAGTCTCACCTCTGCCTCTAGCCTTGCCTCTGCTAATTTGTCCTTCTTACTGGCCTCGAGCTCCTGTTCCTAGACAAAGCACATCACATGTGAGCACGACACACAACAAGCACTACAAGCAATTAGGAGAGGTGGTTTTCACAGCAGTTGTAACTCCATTATCACATCATCTCTGCAGATAAATGAACATTTCAATCTTACCAGCATCTCTGTTGACAAACATCAGTTCACACATTATTAGGTGTAGCAGAATGTTTTCCTGTGATTTCAGTGTATTTCCTCTATAAACATGAATCACAGAGAAATGGCTGCATCCAGGTATGTTACTGTCACAGCTGCATCTGAGGGTCTGCGTTTAGCTTTGATTTTGTTTCAATTCATACAACTGTCTGACACACTCACCATGGGGTCACAGATATTTTCAGTAGAAAAAGAAATAGATTTGGTGAGAATTTCTTTTTAAAACCACGATCTTAATTTCTGAAATGAGCCCTGGCTCAGGTTCCATTTATCTGTATTTATAATTTTAATTAAAGCATCTACATTAATTAAATGTTTTAAGCCAGTAGGGAGGTGCAACTAGCAATAACACAACAATGACATATTGCCATAATGTTGACTGATGATGATTAATGTGTTTGCATGCCTAAAAACATGCAGCAACAACATTAGTCCAGTATACACTATGGTCTCCTATACCCTGACTCTTAAGCTGCTGTACACTCCACTATGTTCACCAGCTACTCACAAATTCTGTCTATTGGCTGTTTGGACAAGAGTTAAACTCTGGGCTATAAAATCAAACAATGACACACTGGTGCACTGTGTGTGCAGTGCCCAGTGTGTGCAAATCTGGCCTGAGCAGCAAAAGCGTGGGTGTCAGGTCATTTCCTGGAACTGTGGACAGCAAAGTCTCTTATTTTAGGAAGAAACATCACTGTTTTCCAGCAGCAGGATGTCTCAGAGGCAAAAACTGAAATTTCCTGCTTATACTGTTTCCACCAAAATGATCAGGTATAACAGGTTTTTTAAACACAGGTAAACCTGCTAATAAAAGCTGATCGACTCCTTTTCCCCTGCCAGTCGACTTTGTCTTTCTGTTCGGACCGAGGACACACACAACTGCAAGGAGTGATGTCATCACATGCACTTACAGAGCACACACACAGACACAGTGGAGAGAGAGTGAGCTGCTAGCTGCTGTGTAAACTAGTAAAACAGATGTGTCTCGTCTCATCCTCAGGTTGTTGCTCCTGTAAGTGTCAGAGCCTCTGTGAGAGACGCTTCCATCAGTGATTGTGTGTTTTTAAAACTTATTTCTGGGCTGCAGCTTCACTCTCAGAGGAAGGTGTAACGGCAGTGTTCCTGGTGTAACAGCACCGTGCTGGACAGGTGACAGGTGTGTTACAGTGTCTGTCTCTGACAGACGTCACAGCAGGAAAAGGGGTGAAACAAAGGGATGTTCACTCACTGCTGATCAGAGCCAGACCTGTGAAATACCCAGGTCTACTGCAGAGTCATGTGACCCAGGTGTGAATGCTGATTGTTCCTTTTTCCTTTTTTTGTTCTGATTTACTGTCATTTAATGGTAATTATAATGCTGTTTAGTGTGTCCTTGTGCTCTGAGAAACACACACATGCTTGAAGGCTTAAAGTTCTAATCTGTAACTATTTCACAGTAAAATGTGTAAAAACAACTAGATCTATGTTCTGTATGTTGTTGAGTTGTGTTCTTACATTATCCCTAATGTTTCCATCAATTCTCAAACCAGAGAAATCTGTGATTATAATCATGGTAACGCTCCGTGTCATTAGTCTCCTGTCAATGACATCATATCCTCTATGATCATGTGTCAGTGTTGTGTTTGTTGGACGTCTGGATCTGAAGTTATCAGAGAAACAAGCTGAGGAAATGTTAGACAGCTCAGCTCCAAGATGTCCTGTGACCACTGAAAAGCATCAGTGAATTAATGATTTTTAACTTGAAACTGCTTGATTCAGTGTTTCTACTAGTTTGAATCCCCTGGTGTGTTTGTTATGGAGAGGAGGACACCTCTGTGGATAATTCAACTGCTGGTAAAAACCTGCTGAACGTCTGCTTCATAAGTTATCAGAGAAACAATCAGAACAAAGGTTAGCATCAATCTCAGCTCCAGCTCTTCCCTGAGTCTCTGTCCTCCGTACAGCGTTGCTCAAACACTGACTTTAAATGTCAAACTGCTTCATTCAGTGTTTTTAACAGTTAGAATCACTGGGTCTGTTTGATTTCCTGAACCACTGACACTGAAGGAATCCAAACTGGGAGGAGCTTACGGTAATGGTGGCGAAGACAACAACTCCCATGATCCCATGCTATTTCATTACGTCACTCAACGCCGTCTTTGTAATTGTTTTGATTGAGACCCCTAGAGGCAGAGGCTACTGACTGTGTTTAATGTGCATGTGGGCATTTTTGGGAAGTTCATGCAAATATTGCAAGTGTGACCCACAGATGACTGACCGTCTGTCTGACAGCTGTAATTCATGTCTCAGTCCTCTCTACTCCTGCCTTTAAATGTCACTGAGGCACTGTTTGAGTCAAGTGTAGCTACACAGTCTATAGTTAATCTAAACTAATGACTTTAAAACTGATTTTGTGGAGAAACACCCATACACAAACTTACCATCTCTTCCACTGCTGGAGCAGGCTTTAGGGGAGAAGAGGCAGAGGAAGAGCAGAGAGAAGTCAGAGATTAGAGAAATTCAGGCAACAGAGATTGTGAGCAAGTTAACCATTCGATACTGTAAAGCAATGTGCACATCAGAAATGGAAAAATTAAAAACATTGAGAGCAGTGGGAAAGCAGAGGACAGGAGCACCAAAGCAGCAGCAGCCTCCCTGTAACAGCCACGTCATGCACACAGCTGCAAAAAAAATTGGATTTTCTTTAATGATTCTAATATTTGCATAACTTGAATGATTGTGTGGGGCTATCAATGTAGTCATAACACTTAGTGCATGGCGTTACTGCTGCTAACCCCATCCCAGAGGACCAAAGCTGCTGCTGATGTTCCACTTTCATTTCAAGAGCAGGCTCGACAGCAGCGTGGTAATAAGGGGGGTCATTATATTAGCACATGTTTGATTTTAATTAACCCAAGTTTTAATCATCTTCCAAGGGCACCCTGCAAATACCCCACTAGTGTAGGAACAGGCTTGTGTAGGAAAACTGACACTAACACAAACAGTGTAGAAATCAGAAGACATACTGAACAGAGTTTCATCTGATCATATTCACCAGCAGCTGCTCCTTATATTCAGACTTTACTTTTTACTTTTGTTCATTACCTGAGCAGCAAACTGTGGGACGACCGTTCACTTAGTCAATAGTCAACATATCCACAGGTGTCTGATGGTACACTGCACAGGACAAGTATCTGTCAGCATTCATATATCATTCAAGAGGTCATCTTCAGAGGCAGGTGTCTCCCTCCTCCAGGTTAGAATTGGTGTCTTGTTTTTGAATGCCAGTGTAAAATAAGTTGTATTCTTATTATTTATGAATAGAAGAGTGCACTGCTCTGGGATCAGGCTCTAAAAAATATAAAATATCTGGAAACTGGATTCGTTTTTCAGGCTCCTGTTCTTCAGCTCCCCAGCATCACACTTTGATTAACACCCTGTTTCCACCAAAATGATCAGGTATAACAGGTTTTTTAAACACAGGTAAACCTGCTAATAAAAGCTGATTGACTCCTTTTCCCCTGCCAGTCGAGATTGTCTTTCTGTTCGGACTTAGGACACACACAACTGCAAGGAGTGATGTCATCACACGCACTTACAGAGCACACACACAGACACAGTGGAGAGAGAGAGAGCTGCTAGCTGCTGTGTAAACTAGTAAAACAGATGTGTCTCGTCTCATCCTCAGGTTGTTGCTCCTGTAAGTGTCAGAGCCTCTGTGAGAGACGCTTCCATCAGTGATTGTGTTTTTTTAAAGTATACATTTTTGGGGGCTTTTGTGCCTTTATTGGACAGGATAGTAGAGAGAGACAGGAAATGGGGAGGCAGAGAGAGGGGGAATGACATGCAGTAAAGGGCCGTCCGATGCGGGATTCGAACCGGGGCCGACTGCAGCGAGGACTGTAGCCTCTACATATGGGGCGCCTGCTCAACCCACTGTGCCACTCGATGCCCCAATTGTGTGTTTTTAAAACTTATTTCTGGGCTGCAGCTCACTCTCAGAGGAAGGTGTAACGGCAGTGTTCCTGGTGTAACAGCACCGTGCTGGACAGGTGACGGGTGTGTTACAGTGTCTGTCTCTGACAGACGTCAAAGCAGGAAAAGGGGTGAAAATTAGGGCTGAACTATCTGGGAAAATAATCTAATTTTTTTTTACCAATATTGCAATTGCAATTTAATATGTGATTATTTTTTTAAGTTCCTTATCTTCTGTATTATTCAACAAACACAAGCAATGTAGGCCAGGCCTATGTGTCATGATGAAATTAGATGATGCATGAACTTATATGAACGACATATTTTTACTTAACTATTTCACAGTAGAATATTGACTTAGTTTAACTTACAGCCTTGTAAAAATGTAAAATTGTCTGTCGTTATGCAGACATGGCTCTCTTCATGGAGATCCCAGCTGGTCGAAGTCTTCATTAATGAAATGTACCATAAGACTCTGATTGGGCTCTGCTGTATGGCCTGACCACGTCAGTTGTAGTAGCGAAAAACTCCGCTGCGACTCTCAGCGTGCATTTTTCATATAGCTCTGGTATGACAACCTGGCTAAAATATGTGCGGGAGGGCCTGCTGTACCGCTTATCCCGTGTATTTATCAAAGCCGTAAACCCAGGCTTGGTCACTGTGCCCTATCTTTCCCTATGAACTCTGTTATTGCCTGAGTAATTCCCCGTGCCGTTTTGAATTACGTTCATATGGAATTATGCTTTCAAACATAAGGCAGGTTCTGCAAAATACCTGACGCTGTTAAGCATCTTTTTTTAAAGCCAAAATAGTTCCACACAACCGACGTACTGCTCCTCTTAGACACTAAAGTTTTTGCAGTGCCAGGTTCTGTCGAGCCTGAGGCCATTATACAACAGGTCAAAATGTAGCATGCCAAGTTGTTGCTCCCTCTTTTAGCTGACTGCTCTACTCCTGCTTGCATGTCATGTGACCAGAGTGTAATCGCAGCCATTGAGGTTAGAAAATCGCGTTTTATCATGTCGCGATATTATCGCAAAAGCAATTAATTGTTCAGCCCTAGTGAAAATGAACATGTTCAATCGGGTGTTGTGTTTACATCACTGCTGATCGGAGCCAGAGCTGATAAATACCTGCGTCTAAAACAGAGTCGTGTGACCCGGGTGTGAATGCTGATTGTTCCCGTTTCCACTGCCAACAAGAGCCTGATGTTAGTGGGTCTCGGCAGGTTTTTTGACCAGTGGTAAAGGGGCTTCAGTCAGTATTAAACTGCAGCCACATATCACACTGCTGCTCGACTCAGAGTGGAGGACCTTGCCCAAAACATCATCATCAACAAATATGACCAAATGAATGTCAACTCGGCCAACAGCCAGCTCTACAAGAGTTCTAGTTCCAGTTCTTGTTCCCACTGTTTTCCTGGGAACAATCAGAGCTTTGTGACCTGATCTCTCACCACAGTTTGATCACAGAGGTCTACAGAGTTCACTGGACTTCATGGTCTTTGTCCTGACCTGCAGGTGAACTGCTACACACACGTGATACAGCTGTGCGTCTAAACTCTGCCCAGTCGGTTCAGTTCACCACATTAAAGGATCTGAAGACTTTGATAAATGAGCGATTACAGATTTTGATTTAATAATTTTGCATGCAAGATTTCTAAAAACATGTTTTCACTCTGTCGTTTTGTGTTATTTAGTGTCGACTGATTTGTGCAGAAAGTGAAAGGGTGTGAAAACTTCCTGAAGCCACTTAAGTTCATGATTTTTGATCCTTACAATTAATCACAAAAACTCACACCAGCCTGATCAGATGTGAGAGTGTCAAATACAATGTGCTTATATTTAGTTTAACTTTGTATTCCCTGGAGTGAACAGGTTAAAACACAGAACTGCAACACCCTCGGGTCAACTCCGACCGTAGACCTTTCTTTATGTCTCCCTGCCTCTCTCTATAAGTCTGTTGTCTCTGACAAATAAAGGCTAAATGCCAAAAAACAGCACCTCCTCCTCCCACCTACCAGTCTGCCCTTGATGGTGTCAGAGTCTTCAGCCTGGCCTTGCTTGGCGTGAACCTGCAGCTGGAGAGCATGGAGCTGCAGGAGCTGGTCATGGACCTCCCTGTCCACCACTGCCCGCTCAGCCTTAGCCTCCGTCAGCTCAGAACGCAGGTCCACCAGCTGAGCCTGGAGGGGAGGGAAAGAGGTGTGGAAGGAGAGGGGTGATGAGGAGGGACACCAGAGGTAGATATGTCAGGTCAGAGTCAACACTGTACCGGCCTCAGTCCCGGCATGACTATCCTACACTGGGAGACAACCTGTCTTAAAAGGTGCTCTGAGTGGTCTTGTAAACAAACATCCAGTGTTACTCAGCAGAATACTGTGCATGTCTCCTTCATCTTTAACAAATATGTTGAATGCATTTCCTTCCTCATCAAAGAACTTCAAAGCGTTTTCAATCCTGCGTTGTTTACATCCATGTTTACGAGCTTATAGTCTTCTTTCCTGTCTTTCTTGGCACTTATATCTTGGTGTGTTACTGCCACAGCCTGATCAGTGGAATAGTGTGGCACCACTGGTACAACTGTATCATGTCACAAGCATGTGCACAAGATAAGATAAGATAAGATATGATAAGACTAGATAAGATAAGAAGCACTTTTAGAGGTTTAAAGCTCCACAATAAATTTAAAGTTCTAATCTGTAACTTTTCCACATTAAAATGTCTAAAAACAACTAGATCTATGTTCTATATGTTGTTGAGTTGTGTTCTTACATTATCCCAAATGTTTCCATCAATTCTCAAACCAGAGAAATCTGTGATTTTAATCATGGTAACGTGTCATTTGGTCTCCTGTCAGTGACATCATATCCTCTATGATCATGTGTGAGTGTTGTCTTTGTCTGACAGAAGCTCAACATTAGGGATCAACTGATTATCAGCCTGGCTTTCTGATTATTGGTATCATAATTTTTTAACTGATAACGCTAAAATAAATTCCTCGCTGCAAGAAGGCAAAACAAAGACATTAACAGCAAACACGCTGCAAATACAGAAACAATGCAACAACAAAAACACACAAACCTACAAAACAAATGCAACAGAAAAAAGCGCTGCATATTCAGACAACACAACAGAAGAGCTCCAGGCCTTTAGGTGGAACATCTTGACCATAAGCTTGAGCTTCGACCCAAGAGACCAGACCAGAGATACGCATTACGGGCAGCGCCAATGGTATAAAATGGGATACACTTCCTGTCTCCTAAGTAGGCGTGGTTGTGATGCTTCTTCATGACAAAACATAACAACACAATACAACACTAGATACAGTATGAATTTGCGCCTGATATTGCTGCTCATTTTGATCTGCTATCTTAATATCTGATAAATCCAGTACAAGATCATATTAGTCTAATAATACTCTATTTTCCCTCCAAAAACACTTAAATGATAGTAATAGGAATGGTATTATTAAGCAAAGATATATACAAGTTTTATTTCAGTTTAAACTTTTAATTCATGGTTTCACATAAAAGTCCCTCTGAACTTCTGTGGTTGGAAAGTGACGTCAGCAGTGCTGCAGCAGTGAGACCAGAACCGACAGAGAGAAGAGAGATCTGTGTTTGATGCCAGAATGTTGGGAAGATCTGCGGCTTTAGAAAAATGGATTCAATATTTATTTCGGTGACTGTGGGGGCGAAAGAATCTGTCATAATCTGTGATGTTGTTCTACTTCTCCCATTGGAATGAACAGACTTAGACCTGCTGCTGGTCTCCTAAAGGGGTGGGGAGGTGGAGAAACCCATGTGACACAGTCACGGGAAATAATCGAAAGTGAACTGTCTCCTCCTCCAACTGTCTCTGGTCTGGCCTTGCAGGTCGAAGCTCAATGGTCAAGGTGTACCACTTTGAGCTCCCCCTAGAGGCCTGGAGCTCTTCCGTTGTGTTGTCTGGACATGCTGCGCCTTTTTCTGTTGCATTTGTTTGGGAGGTTTGTGTGTTTTGGTTGTTGCAGCATTTCTGTATTTGCAGCGTGTTTGCTGTTAATGTCTTTGTTTTGGCTTCCTGCAGCATGTTTTTCATTTGCAGCACGTTCCCGTGGTTGTATTTGTTTTGTATTTTCATCTATGTTTTTGAATCTGCATCGTTTATGAATTTGCAGCGTGTTTCTCCTATTGGAAGTGTTGTGGGCCGTTGCAGCGTGTTTGCTCTTGTCGGCCACCATATATCAGGCCATAGACTTTCTTCCAATGAGGGTTATAAATAAAATTATTCTGTTAAGAAAAAAAATAACCAAAGACGTTATTAGCTAGTTCAACAGAATCAGTCAATCTCGGATTTGCTCCTTAAGCAGCAGCATCTGTGACAAATCTTTGGCAGATGGCAAATCTACAGCGGGGCTTCTAAATGTTCCAAATATCATTAGAGGAACTGCAGGCTTTGGCACTTGGCGTGCTGGCTTCATTTTTCAGCCTCGGAGGTTGAGGCTTGCACCAAACAGTATCTGAGGGGCAAATTCTTTTGTCTTTATATGGACTACAATGTTGAAAGACTGAGCGCACAGGTGGAACAATTTGTGATTAACCAGCCGCTGCAGGAAAATGAACCTCTCCAACCAATCGAACAGCCGCCCAGACCCTGGGCTAATTTAGTCGTTGACCTAGTAGGTCCTATACAGAACAACTACATATTGACTCTAACTGACTGTCTTACATAACACCCATAGGCAACTTTCATAAATGACATATCATCAGCCACAGCCACAGCTTGGTTTGGATATTCTCTGGAGTTGAGGTCACTGATAGGCAGACCACCGGCCTGTAACCTATGAATAATTGAGTACTATTACATTTTGAAGAAGCCTTTCTATCTTAACCACCGCAGCTTTTCTAGCTTTTACTGGTTTAGTCGCCCAGGAAATTCACAGGCCAACTGCATCATCTCAGCCAATCAATGCGACTTGAGTCAGTGAGTGAGATACACACAATGACAATAGTTGGAACAGTAAGTGGGGAAGTGGGATACAAGAGGGAAAGAAAGGTGTTAATGGAGGTGTTGAAGCTGATCAAGATGTGATGAGATGGTTGATTGTTCAGATGTGAAAAAGGGAAACTAAAGCTACACTTTTTATTTCATTTTCGGAGAGGAAACTCTTTATTTTAAGATGCACATTAGTCAAAAGCCCTCTAATCTACATGTATTATTTATCACAGCACTTATTTTCCTTGAAATGAGAAATAATTGAATTATTATTGGGGTCATTATTATTGTTAATTATGTTTCTCTTTGAACTGAAAAAAGGAGTAATGATTTTTAATTTTTATTCTAACTGGTAAAGATGAGATGTAGTTGATTATCTCGCAATAATCGGAGTACGTGAGGAATGTGGGGGCGAGAGTGAGAAGTGGAATGATGAGATGAATAATAAAGCTAGTTGAAATACAGACTCTTTCTTTATTGGACGACAGAGGCAGTGATGGTCAAGAGTGGTGTGTGGCAGAGGAACATGGGTGACAGTAGCAGTCTGAATCGGCGTTTGTCGCCGGGAAGGGACGTTAACGTTACGTCACCATCGGTCACTTCTCAGTTCATCAGTCAGGAAAGTCTACATGATATCTCTGTGGTGAACGTTAACCGTGCACCCAACTACAGTTACTAACCTCTAGTTTATGGTTGAGTTGGAAAACCGTCTGGGTTTTGTGACACAGTTGAGCAAAACAGGAGCTGAGGCTGGTCATCTTCTGCCGACCCTCGTACGTAATGTCGACTTGATCTGGATCTATCTCTCCGAGCAGCAGATCCACGTCCACAAAGGCCTTGTCAAACTCTTTCTCCAGCACCTCTAGCCAGCGAAACATGGACATACCGGGGCCGAGGCCCGAGCTGTGGCCCGCCGGGGAGCATCCAGCCGAAGCGGACATGGCTAAATCACAGCAAAGCCCAAACGTTAGCGTTAGCTTACAAGCTAACTTTGATGGTGAGTAACGTTAATGGATCCCCCCTCTGCTGACCACTGGTGAAATAACAGTGGAAATAACGCTGAAACCCAATGACTAGACTGTCTGTCGGGTTGGCGGAGAGGAGTGTGACAAACTGCGTCTCTAATTCTGGTGAAAACACAGTCTGACCAGGAAGTCCCGCAACAGACTCTCGACTATCTGTGAGGCGGCTACTACAGTCTGCCTGTTTGCAGGGAGAAGCAGTGGATGGCAGAGCCTCCTCTTCTTCTATCGTCATGGCTGGTGGTTCTGACGCTACTGGCTGAGTTATTGCCCTCCACAGTATGAACAACGACACTACACTACTCAGTCCATATACTTGAATTTAAACCATAGATATAAACTGAAAAAGTGCCTTTGCAGTCAGCTGGTGGTTCTCATGTTGGCCAAGCATAGTTTTAACTGTAAAACAATCCAGTCATCTTAAACAACATGTCCCTGTCAGTGTTTTATTTACTACAATGTCTCAGGAGAACACATTCACATCAGTTGGACATTTTCCTACAATTTGTAAATATTTATTTAAACCATGATGCTCCAGCACCCCAACACTAATTAACTACATGACTTTGGCCTACCACTCCCATTCCATTACCACTCCCTCTCAATGCCCTCTCTGAGATCAACTTTCCCAAAGAACACATTAACATCTATTTCTTTCTTAAAAGGTGGTTTTGCAATACAATCCGTAATTTCATTACCTTTAGCCCCAGCATGCCCAGGGCTCAGGATAGCCTAACTTCACAGCCCAGAATTCCAACTATAAACAAAATGGTAAGGATCTCATTAAGAATTGAAAATCAGATTGAAGTTTGACAGAAGGGTTGAGTCGACATCTGGTTCTGGCATCAGCCAAAAAGGGAAAGATGACCAACACACTTGATATGCTTCCTACTCTCTTTTTCTATTCCCAATTTCTCAATCCACTGATTTTATCCCCCCCCAAAAATTTTTTTTTTTACCAGATGATTCCCATGTCCCTTGAAAAAGACACTGAAAAAACGGGATTACAGCCCAGTGGTCCAATGCCATATCTCCCATTTCAACAAGTAAGTCAGGCTGGAGTGCTGACTGACAAATGTGCAGTTAATGATGATGTGATATCACTGCCCCCTACTGGACATGTTGTAAACTACATGAAGCAACAAGGACTAAAACATGCAGTAAACATCACACTTTTCAGTGGCACATCAAAATAAGAACCAGCCTGTCGACAAAAGAAATTCAGCAATGAATTAATTATTGATATTTATTTGTATTTTATTGATCGATGCACAAAGATTAACATCACTGTTAATACGCCAGTGTTAGACAAAACTGCTGCCCCTTGGACAGATAAAACAACTAAATTTGTATTATTATTATCATTATATATTATTATTGACTTTATGTTTTATGGTGTTTTTCTTGTCCAAAGTGGCATCATGGAAATATTTCGATGGGGATTTATACCCTTTTAATGTCCAGGGTCCTGTCTGGTTATATCTGATCATCTGTTCTCTGGTGATTTTGTCCCCGGACTCAAGGGATCACCACTTCAACATACAGTACCTTTACTCTGCATTACAAACCATTGAAGAGATAAGGCACTTTAAAAAACCAGTTGTTGTTTTTCATAACATCAGACATAACTGTGTCTCTCTCTTCAAAGGGAAGAGTTCATTAAAGATGTCATTTTCCTGTGTCACTTTGAAAGTTTTCTTTTCAGTTTAACTGATTAGTGAAAGTAAATTTCTAACCACCAACAAAGTCGACACATTAACACAAAGTAAAACAAAATTGTTAGTGTTTGAGTCAACAGCAGCTGTCTGTGTGCTCTCCTGTCAGCCTCCTGTCCTCCTTCAGTTTGGCCTCTATGAACTCCTGCTTCACCCTCTGCAGCAGCTCTGGACACAGCAGCACATCCAACACCGTCATGGCCAGAGCCTTAGCTGTTCTCAGAGTGTGTGTGTGTGTGTGTGTGTGTGTGTGTGTGTGTGTGTGTGTGTGTGTGTGTGTGTGTGTGTGTGTGTGTGTGTGAATGGGGTGCACACCAGCAGCAACAGTATATTCCTCTGTGTGGTTGATCGCATTAGAACCGATGTAGAGGTACGGGTGGATGCCAGGAACTACAAAGGTCACATTGCCAAAGTCTGTGGAGCCTGGGGAGCAGAAGAGTGAGAGAGAGAGGGTTCATGTTCAGAAGTCACTGATCATCCCTGTATTTAAAGCAGGGGACAAAATTTAGACATAGAAAGAACCCACAACTAATAATTAGAAAGCGAGGTGTGTTAGGGTGATGCAGCTGCTGCCTCCTTTGTTCCATAAAACTGGAACCTAGGACCTTCAAATAAGCTAAGCTGCCTTAACACAGATTTGTAAACACACGATCATACCATAATGTTGAAGCTGTCAGCTCGTGTGCTTGTGTGCGACTTTGCCCTCCTCTACATATTTCAGTCACCTCTTCATGTCTTCCTGCTCCCAGCACTGATGCTGTCTGTGCATTGCAGAGACACAGAGGATGTACACATACCAGACTCATTACTGAGGATGTCTTCTTCTGTGGTGAAGTCCATCCCCAGAGCCTTTCTGTTTCTCTCATACAGTTCCTCGAGTGTAGCATTACGCAGCATGTTGTCAAATTTATTTCTTGCAAATTCTACTTGGACCTGAAAGGCAGATAGTTTGAGGTTGGCTTCTTAAAGCTACAGCGTTTTTATTAGGACTGTGTTATAAAACCTTTAAATATAAGCAGGTATTGTTTATTTCTACAGCTCAACTTAACTGGAATATCACAAATTTGAAAAACAAATTACCAAAAAAATCTGTTATTATCCTCTAAATCTGTCTGGCCCACACCCCACCCCATAACAATACAGAGGCCAAATAATGCCTTCTCAGAGCATTTTCTATCTTAATGATAATCTTGACTCTCTTTCCTTTTAATTCTTCCTGTTGCTAACCAGCTATCAATTTTGATGCTCCAGTTTTTGCCATGGATGTGATCTTTTACTGAACAATCAGACTGCGATAGCAAACAAGTGCATGGTCTGGCAGCAGTCCGGCTAGCGACAACATAAAAGTTCCTATCATTGGCTTATCACAGTGATAGGCCTTAACAAGAGAGAAATGAAAGTGGGTGTGTGGAAATGAAAGGAGTTTTTCAAATTTTTTAATATTTTTAAAGATAATTTCGCTTAAAGACATTATTTTTATCTTCTATTATTTTATTTTAAAATGACAACTTTTTAAAAAATTGTACTGTTTTGCAAATGATTCATTGGCCCACTTGCAATATCTTTGCAGCCCACCAGTGGGTCCTGGCCCACAGGTTGGGATCGAGCAGCAACCTCTGAGGCTGGAAAATGAAGCCAATACTGATGTGATAAAACCTGCAGTTCCTCTAATGACCACTAGAGTCGGGCTCCAACAGTAAGTCAATCCCCATAGACTCCCATGTTAAAATGTCCAACTTTACAGCAGAAAGAAACATGTTGACAGCCTGGTACAAAAACTGGTTTGGTCTCTAGAGCTAATTTCCTCCTTCATGACACCTGTTTATATAACTCACCTGTTTACATTTTATTAAGGCTTAAAGTTATGGAGAATTCAGGGTGTGGCCTCTTTCAGTGATAGGTGGATCAAAGTTTCAGCTCAACACACGCCCCTCCTCTTTGTCCATTTTTGGATTAGCTGGGTGTTAGCGGCAGAGTCAGACACTGCCAAGATGGCGACAGTAGAGCAGCTTGCTCTGAGCTTCAAATCTGCTCTTCAGAAACCTCTGGGTGACCTAACACAGGCTTTGTCCATCTTTATTTACAGTCTATGACCTTATAAGGTCACTTCATAGAGCCAGTTTAGCTATCCTCAGCTGAACCTGTGCTTGTGTTGACGCAGTGATGACATTTAATCTGACGTGCTTTCTTACCTCACAGCCAGTTGCCAAAGCAGCTGATTGAAAACACCTCTCAGCTTTAGCATTCAGGACAGGAAGCTCAGAGCGTGACGGGGTCCTCAGATAGTACTCCAGCTCAGTGTAGGCAGGAATGATGTTTGGCTTCACTCCATTATGCTTTATGATACCTGCACAACACAACATGATTGAATCCCAGCTTTCCAAACTCCTGAGAGCAACACATGAGCACAGAGGAGCATCAGCTATTCACCGTGAACTCTCCAGTCAGGCTTCATCTGCTGTCTGAGCACAGAGAGGTTGTTGTAGCACAGCACCGCGGCATCCAGTGCATTGATTCCCTCCCTGGGTCAGGCTGAGGCATGAGACGCCTTACCATGGTACTTTACAGTTACACTGGAGAACATGAGACAAACACACTTCAGTCTCTCTGGTTCTCTGCTTCTCTGGAGCATCACAAACACAACATAAGAAAACAGATAAATGAGAAGAAGCTAAATTTGTTTAGATGACTTTTACTGCGGTACCAATGTCCTATACAGAGCTGCACAAGTTAAATATAGTTCATAACCCAATAATAAATGTTGCACTGCACTGGGAAAGAGATTGTTGCATTAAGGATCTTTTCCATTCTATTCTGGGACTGGGTCACAGACTGGGATACAGATTATCAGTCCTGCAGTGAAGAACAAGTAAACATAACAAACAGAAAATTGGAACATAGTCATACAGGAAATGTGTGATGTAATTAAGCTTACTCATGCTCAGCCACACAGGGCAGGTATGTGGCATCCTCCTTTGATGGATGAGCCATAAACACCACATCCAGACCATCAAATGCTCCCTCCCTTAACATGTCAATTTTACCTCCACCATCTTCCTCGGCTATTATGTTGTGTCCACATGCATGTCCTACACCCGGCAGGGCGTCGTACTCACACAGGAAACCCACGTTGACCACATCTCCCCGCTCGCTGCCTGCAGGTTGCCAAGTGGCTCCAAATGCTGTTTCTAGTTTGAAGTGGCTGTCAACCTTCCAGCCTTTCTCCTGACTGAAAAACTCCACGAGTCTGTCATGAGCCTTCCTCTCCTCACCTCCGGATGGCTCGTTATGTCCTGACTGAGGCTGTGCAGCTTTGCTCCGGCTTCATCTATACAGCAGCCAGCTCTCTGTTTCAGCTCCACCAGTAGCTCTGCTCCGTCACACATCTTGTTCCATTCACAAAAAAACTTTATTTACAACAGTGATGGGTGGGTAGCACT